TCAACGTACAACTTGAATGTTTAATGGTAACAATATGAATTCCTTCTCTTCAAGGAAACGTCTTATCAAGCCCTGTGACTATTTTCAGGAGAGTTCTGCATGAGGATGTTTATACAATTGCAGTAATGGGCCTTTAATGCGTGGTTGGCATGTGGGAGGAAACCAGACTATCCAGAGAAAACCCAAGGATATGAGAGAATGACATGCAAAGGTTTGCTCTGAGTCACCTCACAGCCCACACCTACAATATATAGTATTGCCAAATAGCCTCCCATCCTCGGACTAACGAGGCCCCAACCTGCTTGGAGACTCTAATTAGACCACGGTAATTGGTTTAAGGCAATGTTTCAGTTGTGAGTTAAAACAACCCTACCCACAGTGGAGGTCCCTCCGATTGGAATGCCGCACTTGGATGACTGGCTCAAGGCTGATGATTGGTTTCCTCAATGTTCGTTTTGACTTAGCAGACGCTCTGGACTTTAACGAGATCAACCTTGTACTGCAGTACAGCTGAGGATGTATAAATGGCTGTGTTATTTTCTTATATGATACATTTCCAGGAAGGAAAAAGAAACAACCTTCACACGGTTGAACTTTAAAGGTTTTTGTCTGTGCTTATATTGAGTGTCTTCATGTTCAAACAAACAATTTGGCTAACCTTCCATGGCGGTGCTGACTCAGTTGTGAATATTCCACATTCCTATGGTGCTGATCCTGGTTCTTCTAATAGAGACCGCTGTTGAATTCCTTTCAGGGTAGTGCTGCCTAACCAAGTGCTGTTCATTTTATTCACCCAGCAGGAGGGACGATGAGCTGAGTCAACCCTTGCCTGGAATTTAGCTCGCAAGCTCACAATCGAGAACACTTTTGTATGGAGAGGACCTTTTTGTCCGTATTCAAAATAACGAAAAATAAGAGTATTTTTTTTACCGTTTATGACAATAAAACAGCTGTTGGGATGGTCAAACATCAAATAGATACCTTTCACAAGGCATCGACTCTGCATTAACCACACATGTTTGCGGCAAAAAGCGCAGATAAACATGCCCTGTTGCTCTGCTTAACCGAGCTGCATCCTTGGCCATCAGCGGTGATGGCTTGAATCGACGTAAATTATGTTTCCCGGCAATGCATCGCTCTCCCATTTGCGCAGTGGCACTCCGCGCGGTACGCCACGGCATGGTGCTGGCGGCATGCGGCAGTTGTCCGTTACGGAGAAATAGCCAGGAAGTCACAGATGCGTTTCAGCAATTACTGCGTTGAATTTTAAAACTTGAGCCTGCTCTCTTATTATTAACTGGCAACTCAAGATCAACGTTATTTTGTTCCAGCCCTGCATCATTCGGGGAGGCCTTACAGGGGGCCTGTGCACTCCCCCCGCCCCCTACTCTTTAAATTATTATAGTCAAATTAAGCAACACATATTGCAGCCTTTGCTCATTAATGTTCATAGGGGGGAGTGAGAGCCATCGCAGAACACTTGATGGACTCAATCAGATCGTACCCTCACTCGTTCTGTTTGGCGTTTAACATGTGTTCACAGGATGTCTAGCATTGACTGTGTCTTGTCCCCCCCCCCCCCCCACTACTGACTTTTTGTAATGACCCCCCCTCCCCGACTTTAACCATGGTCACCTCTTCAGCATCCCCTTTCCTCGTAACCGCACCAGCCTCGCACCTGCGCCTGCGTAGGATTGCGAATGCTCCGCTGCACTCTAGTCGTGTAGGACGACACCTCGACCTTCACGGGCGCGTACGTGCGAGGTATTGGAAGTATCGATGGCAAGGGGCCGTCGTGAGATGGGGAGAAAGTACAAGAGGGGCGCACACCATTATCGCACGGCACAGAGCTGGATGTGTTACAGCCGACGCTCGCCTGTGCCACAACTGGTGCAGCACAGATGCAGGGTAATTTAAGGGCAGAGAACTTATTTTCATCATCATCAGCCCACTGCTGGATATGAAGCCCTCTCCAATCTGTCGCCATTCTCTCGCGGTCTCTGCGGAGTAACAATCCACTTAGCTCCATCTCCTCGATAGGCATCCCCTCAGATGCCTTCTATCTTCTAGGCTGCCACTCAGTTGTTATTTTTGACCGTCGGACATCATCGCTTCTCCCACCCGTGGGATCCCATTACTGCATCGGTGTAGGCGCACAAAGTCTCTGGAAGGAAAAACAAGTGTGATGTTAAAAGAGGGCAGCCATTGATTAATATGAACGACCTGGAAAGGCCATTGCACAATAGGAGAAAATACCTTTGGAAACTCTGCAGGGAACTTGGAAGTGTATGAAAAATATTGTTGTGACACTCAATCACGTGTAATTACAGGAACACTGCAAGTGCTCAGTCACCGTTTGCCATGGGGTGTTTGGTCTGGAGGGAATTAATTAAGTCTCTCCACATGGCCCCACGCTGGGTGGTTGTTCGCCGATGCGGCGCTCTAAGCGAGCACGCGCCTCCTGAAGCCTGAGAACAATTGTAGCATTTTTTCTAGATTTGAAGCTTTCGTGACTGCAAGGATTCATGCTCTTAGTTTTTTCGCGTAAAGTCACGTAGGTAAAAAATTAAATTAAAATTAATAAAAAATAAAATAATAATAACAATCACGACGTTTCACTTGATACTTGATACAGCAAATCTGGCTGTGACGGTCCCACCTGATGACGGAGACTTGTGTTGCCTCCGAAACGTCGTGATTTTTATTATAATTTTATTTTCATTAATTTTAATTTCATTTTTTACCTACGTGACTTTACCGAAAAAACTAAGAGGAACAATTGTAGCAGTCAAAATACGTCCCAATTCACGCCACTGCATTGCACCGTGGCAAAATTAAAGAACCTGCAGCAGGAGACATCCGCAGGTGTCATCAGACGTTTAGAGCTAATCGACAAGTGACTTTAGCCCTCCGCAGTGTATCCGCTCTAAAATACATTTGTTGCTTTCGAAGTTATTCATTCGTTGGTTTTATTGTCCTTTAGCCAAAAGTATTCGGTGGGTGTGTGTGGAAATCATTAAATACCAACCTTTACTTCATGCTCCTGCACTGCAGGCTCATTATTTTTACGGAGGGAGTGCAACCTCTGTCTCTATTTGCCGTACATCTCGTAAATTGGCTCTAACGCCCAGACGAAGCGTCATTTAGCATCGCCCATTGCGGTTATACAGTCGGCCACAGGTTGGCTTCGTATCAGGTCACCATTACACGCTATTGTTAGAGCAACAACAAAAAAAATCTCCTTTTTTTGGCACACTGCGTTGGAACATTATCCAAAACAGCTTAGTGTAATAAGTGCGCGCCGCAGTTAGTACAGCTGCAACCAGCAAGACTGACCTCTTCCCCAGGCAGCCGTCCGCACAAGAGGTGGCCTCCTGTATCTGGGTTCTCCCTCTCATTCTGTGTCTCACCCCCTCCCCCCTCTCCGGCTACCGTGGGTCCCCAGGCCACCGCTGCCAGTGCTGCTCCACTCAACTTCTCTGGTGCATCTGCACGTGTCAGCTGCTCTGTTTGCGTGATGCCGAGGCGGTGGGGGGGGGGCTGGGAGGGGGGCTGGGGGGGTCTGCTTATTCTTGAAACAGGGGACTGGTCCGCAGAGACACATTTAAATGTTATTATTTTCTGACCGAGCTCAAATAGGGAAGATCATTTTTTCCTGCGTAGCATCCGCCTTGGCTGTGTGTGTTTTTTGTTCCTTGTTGTTTTAAGGAGGGATTTTTTTTTTACCACAGATGGCGAACTTTGGGTCTGTAGGGCCAAATAAATAATGCATGCTTTTTTTCTCTCGCACCAATTGGAGTGTACTCCGTCTATTTCAGGACGGCCTATCATTCCATTTAACCCTAATTCTAACCCTACATTTTAACAGGTTCTAAACATATCGCCGTAATAGAATAAGTGAAACATAGAGAGATGTATGGCCCTATTCAGGTCGGGTTTGTTTTCATTCCTTTTGTGGAATTCTGGAATTAGCTGTAAATTCCAATTAAGACCAATGATCAACTTCCATAATCATCAACGTCATCATTATCAAAGTTATCACCTCCACAACCTTCAAATGACATCGTCACGATTTTATCAACATCTTTTTTGTCTTTGTCATCACCGTCATTTTCCTCGACTGGATGTATGCTTCCATTCTGACGCTTGTGCAAAGTTCAGAGCGGCCAATGGAGCGCTTACCATGCAGGCCAAGCCGCCCCAACGCGCGAGTGGCGTGGACTTCCCCACAACGACGAAACTTTTTCACCTGTTTGTGGAAAACGTTCCACCATCGTTGGTTCGATGCACCCTTGACCCCGGGACTACGTTTGACCATTTTTTGCGATCGCAGAATTGGTCGTGGTAGAACGGGCGCTTTGTTGTGCGTGTGTGGAATCAGTTGCTCGTGAATTGCACAGCGTAGAATCGGGCTGGTTTTCTATTAAAGAAAAAGGGCCATCAATCATGCGAAAAAGTGACAAAATGACAGATAAAATTTCTACGATAATTTGGCCCATAGAGTCAAAGTGAAGTCACAAAGTCTTAGTGCTCGAATGACGATTATGTTTGTGTTCATTTCACTTGGCTCCCGAAACTAATGCTGAAATTTTCTTATTCCCATGGCCAGGTCAGTCTCTCTATGGTACAATACTGTTAATTTTCCAACAAAAACACTTAATTTGAAATACCTCATTCATGTGCGCTAAGGCGCTTCTCTCCAACATTGGGTTAAAAACCATCACGTCAACTTTTCTTCATTTGTGCCGACTTCTCTATGTTTCAGTGTAGCAAAAAAAACCCGAAAAAAATGTTCCACTCACACACCAATCAGGCCCAGTCTCGTGTGTTTCCCCTTCGCCTCTCCCCGTCTCAACCCTGTCCATCTCTTCTGCCCATTCCATCCCTTCACCATCGTCTCACACTGTCAGCATCTCTCCACACCTCATCATTGTTCCCCACTCACCTGCCCCCCCCCTTCTCCATGCGACCCCCCGCCCCCCCCCCCTTTGTCGTGACAGTCAGTGGGCTGCGACCGCCAGCTTGGGAGTGGAGCCAAGGAAGACAACTGCGGCGTGTGCAAGGGAGACGGCTCGACGTGCCGGCTCGTGCGCGGCCAGTACAAGCCGCAGACCTCCGCTGACAAGCGTGAGCCCATTACCTGACCCCCTTTCATTCCTCGACATTTCGGTCACAAGAACGCGGCCGTTGTCGCCCCCCCCCCCGCGCGCGCGCCCGCACGACCGCAGAGCCAAAATTACGGCATTAAAGGGCTCAGTTGTGGGAATTATCTTTGACAAACACATGGCGCAGTGTTACCGATAATGACACGTTGAACGTTATTAAAATGTCCAGCTATGCTATCGCGTGATAAGTCAGTCATGTCTCAAAGTTGACAACCCGCTCTGGCGGAAGCCCCTTTTAACATGTGAAATGAAACAGTTTGTGGGCCCTGGAGCTGGTGACACATGAGCTCAGAGTTGACATTTACTCTTTAGCAATTGACGGACAGATCTTTTCTTTTTCTATATTTCTCGTTGTTTTTCAACGCAGTCGGCTACGTACCTTGCCGTCATTTGTCACCGGATGACGTGAAACCTCCTGAATTCGATACGGGGACAAAAAAAAGCCATGGGTGGCCGACGGACAGGAAAGTGGACATCGGTGAGGAGTGGCGTGATGTGCAGACGGGAAGGGGGTGGGGGCGGGGGGGGGGGACGTGAGGGGAGGGGGGTGGGGGTGTGGATGGGTGTGTGGCAGGACAGGACAGGGAGCGGTGACGAGGTTTTCGCAGAATTGCCGGGATGGCCTCCCCATTGTGCAGCGCCGCCCGTCCGGCGATCGGCACCGCCGGTGCGAAACGCTCAGAGGGGGTCGCTTTGATGGGGCTGGCGACGTCCCCCCCCCCACCCCACCCCCCTGCCCGTCTCTCGGTCCTGAGCGCCGCAATGGAGCCAAGTGTCGTGACTGTGCAGTGGTCCGATGGTATCGTGTTCTTCCGGCCGTTGTGTTGCCGCACCGTATCGTGCTCTCATTTGTTTGTGTAATGCGCAAGTTGATATTATTTGAATTACTTTGATACAATAACAGTGCGTGGCACAGCGAGCGCCATTTCTCAAGTAACAGGGGCCGATCATTTGATGCTTTTGGCATCGGGTGAAGTTGACTCAGAGGCAAATTCCCAGAAGCACCACTCGGCTATCTCTTGAAGGGCCTGCTTATTTTCCTTCCATTTAATCGTTCGCATATTACTGCTTATATAATACAGGGTGCTTAAAAAAAATGTTAACACTTCTGAGAATTTGCAACTAAACCGCAACAAATGTGCCTCTCTGGAGATCACCTGGAGAAGATTCCAGGCACGTGTTGACAATTATGGCAAACAAGTGGCAGACTATTTTTCTTTGGGTCTTTCGGTAAAGTCACGTAGATAGGTTCAAATAAACTAACCAAAAACTACGACGTTTCGATCACAACACAAGCAATCGTCATCAGGAAAACTGATGACGACCACGTGTGTTGCGATCGAAAAGTCGTAGTTTTTTGTTATTTTATTTGAACCTATCTACGTGACTTTACCGAAAGACCCAAAGAATATGAATTCCTGCAGTCACGAAAGCTTCAAGTCAAGACTTAAGTGGAGACTGACTTTTAGAGGCTATTAACATACATTTGTTATCATGTTACAGTGTATTATCCGTTCTTTTTCCATTAAAAACGATAGTTTCTATAAGTAAAAAAAAAAATTTGAAGCACCCTGTACATGAAACTTCCATTTCTAACTACGTAACTTTTCATGTTGCACTTAATAAGGTTCACTTGTAAGCCAGAGTCTATTAAATGTGTCATTCTGCAGTGAGCATGCATCGTCCCACCTTGTTGACAGACGTGGTTATTAGAGTTATGGCAGTATTTATTGTTTAAAAATCAATCCGCATTAATTACATCTGAGATTTGATGAGGCAGAACATCTACATATACACCTTTGTGTTTTTTGTATTAAAATGAAATTGAGATTAAATTATAACACATTCAAGCACAATTAAGTTTGAATATTAATAATATTGTTTTATATAAGCTATTTAATTTTGCACCCAAATTGAAGATTTTTTTTTAGTTTTTAAATAATAACTTATACTTAAATCACACGAATATAAATTAATGCAGGCCTGTGCGTTCAGTCCCTAAGAGTCAGGGGACATGAAAAAAAGAATTGCTTCTTCTTTCAAGACATTTCCTGCATTCGTTTTCACGGAATCACACTGGTGAATAAACATAAATCCACAGCTCTACCATCGAGGGATGTGTTTGCATCATTGCACGTGACCCTGTGTGTGAGCGCGAACTATGAGTCCATAAGAACCCACACATTTCAAGTAGACAACAATCCCATCATCCCCTTTTTCGATGGCAAAAAAAACCATCACAATCGGTCGTTTCAGAAAAAAAACGCTCACAAGTGTTGAGATTGCCATTAGAACTAAGTCTCATATTTCCACGTGTTTTTTTTTTTTGTTCAATTCTTGCTCATTACTGTGGCCCCATTCTTACCAAGCGGTGATCTGATCGCTGTCTCTTGTGCGATAGCGGAAGACACGGTGATCGCCATCCCGTTCGGGAGCCGCCAAATCAAGATCACGGTGAAGGGACCAGATCAGCTCTGTGAGTAAATGCATTCCCGATCATCGGCGTGTATGTTTGCTGTCGACGTGGTCCTTTCTTGCAGCCGTGACCTGAAGTAAATGTACACCATTTACAATTGAACCGCTCGTGAGTCAACTGACCATCTCTCAATGTCCGACTGGTATCAATCATTCAGCAGAGGAACACTTATAATTATTATAATTACAAAGTAAGGGTGCTGACAAGAGGCTCTGCTCTGCTCTCGAGGGAGCTGCAGAGGCCCTCTGTAGGGTATTTGGCCTACTCTTCCATGCTGGCCGCACGTCTTGGAAGAGGTGGGAGCACCCTCACTTTACCCCAACAGAGACAACCTGCTCATCCACTAGTCGTGTTGTCACATTAATATCGGTCATAATAAATGAACGAGTTAATCTTCGATTACTCCCAAGACTCTTCTGCAGAAGGGTATTGCTTGGCGTATTTGGCCCATTCCTTATCGAGTAATTTTCTTGTTTAGTGATTCAATATGAAATGCCCTGAAAACGCCATGTATGCCAGTAAATACAAATTAAAATGTATAGTTTGGAATGCCTACTTGCTGTACTGTGATCACACTTTGCAGGTGAGTGTCGCACTCACAGGTAGTGTACATGGGCAATGCCTCATCTACCAACCATGGTTCCAAGAGTGCTGGACTAGCCATGAACCATCACACCCAGCACGTTGCTATCATCATCATCAGCAGCATCCATGAGCAATCTGCTGCTGAATGAAGGCCTCCCCAAGCCACCTCCTTCCCTCGCAGTTTTGTGATGCAAGCCATCCACTTGGCTCCTGCACACACGTTGATTAACATCACTTCATCTCCGGCGGCAGACGTACTCACGAACCTCTCTGCCCTCTTGGCTCCCAACTGCTTGTCGAGTGTAATTATTCGTCTGTAGCCCCTCGTGCTCAACAGCAAACAATTTGGATCGCTTTTCTTTTTACAGTTTGTCACGGTGCTGCAACGACGCGTAATGGAGCAACTGCACCTCCATTGTGGACGACCAGAGATCCTCCTCCGTCCTCATCCGTCACCCCTCCGCTTGTCACTTTTAACCCCTTGTCCTCGTGATGTCCACCTCAGTGGTGGAGACCAAGACCCTTCAGGGCCGGCGGGGAGAGATCAGCCTCACCTCCGCCGGGACGTTCAGCCTGGAGAACAGCTCGCTCGAGTTCCAGAGGCACCCGGGCAAGAGGGTTCTGCACATCACAGGCCCCATTCAAGCGGATTTCACCATCAAGGTGCCGCGCGAGCGATACATTACACGTCGGCTTGGGTGCTTTGCTTGCTCAGATAGAGGCACGATTCAACAGCAAAAAACAACTTACTCCATTTATAATGTAACAAACGTCTCAGAGCACAGACGTGCAAAGGAGGAAATGGGAGGGACCAGGCAAGGAAAGCAGGAGAATAGAAACAATTTGAGTCTGAACACTGCACTCAGTGGAATTGGCCCCTTCACCAATTCAATATTTGAATCGTGCCAGATTTGATTTTGCCGTAGGTGTTTGCAGTTCCGCCACAACTATTCCTTCTCGCGAGATTCGTTCTCCCGAGCTCTGCGTTCGTGTACACCCCTGAAAAGTAAAGTGCGGATGCCAGTTGAATTTGACAAAAGCCCTACATATGGCCATACCTCAAGACGCCGTGCAAAGAGGGGGGCGTGTGTTTACCGAGTGTCTTCGGCGAGGGCGCTCAGCTTTGAATTCGTGGCACCGTCCCGCAGTTTAGCGCACACGTGGCAACACTTTCTGTCAAGTTCATGTGACCCACCCAGATTTGGCCTGCTGATAGGTCAACGAGAACACCGTAAGGCAAGGGGACAGATGCTGCTGCGTGATGTCCGTCGCTCTCACCTTTATGTGATGCCTCTCTCTCTCTCTCTAGGGCGATTCCTAAATATGTCCCTCATTTACAAGACTGGATAATGGATCATTGTTGATTCCTCACCAGTGGAACTGACTTCAGTTTTGTGTGTGTCCCTTACAAACCCCTTCCATTATTTACCTTCCGTAGTTCAATCATGCCTGACAATAGCAATGAATAAACATCTTGAATTTGCATATAAAGAACCCAAACAGTTTTATAATAAATTATCGTCTCTGGAAGTCGGTTACAAAAACACGTTGCAGCCATTCTAGATTTGAAGTTTTCGTGACTGCAAGGGTCCATACTCTTTGTTTTTTTCCTACGTGACTTTACCGAAAAAATCCAAAGAGTACGTTTCAGCCAGTAAAGGCATCACGAAGCACATGCTGTAAGGGTACTATTATTATAATGCGCGTTCGCAGAACTTGTGTGTGTGTTGTTGTTGTCGTCTTAATCAAACTTAAACAGTTTTTTTCTGGCACATCGCTGAACACACGTGCATAGGAGCACCTGTTTTAGCTTGACAGTCATCAGATAAATCCTTCACGCAAGGGGAGTTTAACCACTCGTTCTCAATCTGCCCAGGATTATCAACAGTACTAATCTACAATTTCATCATTTTTGGACGCATAAATACATTTTCATTGGTGATTTTTTGGCACAATTGCCATCACAGCTTCCAATTCGCCTACGGCTATGAAGCTGAATTAGACTAAGAGTAAGGGTTTTCAAATTTGCCATGACGTTTTGAATCTACGTTTGCCCTAATTAGTTCATGTAACCTTCTCTAGAGCGTATGATTGCCCTTCTTCATAAAACAGCATTGTCTATGATGCAGATTAATGACGTTTTGATCGTTGACGTGAGTACGCTGTGTATGAGTGTAGAGCGTTCTAAATTGAGTGCACATAGTTGAAAGGAAATGTGGGCGCATTAATGTAAGAATTTATATTTGATACGACATTTTGTGATAATTGTGACTTTTTAAGGTTCAATATGATGGCAAAATCACGTGATTTTAACAGTCACATTCATAATGCAGGTTCTAAAACTTTTGTTAGCAAATTTAAAAGCCAATGATGTGAAATGCATAGGAGCCATATTAAACTCATTGCCTGGAAAACACGTTAAACTGAAAATAAACGCTTATATCTTGTAAAGGCACATCTGTTACTGTTTAGAACAACTTGCCACAAATTCACGGAAGTTAACGGTGCCTTTAACTTTGAATGAAACTGAATATTGAGGGCCTGGCCATTGTAAAAATATTGCAACAATAACACGTAAATTATGGATAATTTGCTAAATAAATAACCCCTGACTCCAATATACACAGACAACAAGTCTGAGCATATATTAAGTTGTAAACTATTAACGCACAAATACGTTGTTGACAATGAAATTATTTAATCAAAACCCAGTTAATTGTTTGTCACGGAAAGAGAGATGCGTTAGACTTGGACCAGACAGACGTCGCAAAGACCCCTGCATGTGACCGGCATTTTAAAAGTGCCTCCTCTTTGCTGTCAGCATGGCTCTCATCGTTACTCACGGCCACAACTCGCTTTCATATTTTAAACATCTTTAGTTAACATATTTTTTTCTCACTTTATAGAATTTTTCTATTTGTTATGTTTGAGTATTAATGTGCCGGTGCTTTGAGTGTCAGATTTTTGCCACCAAGGCGCCACGCGTGTGTGAGCCAAAAATTAATTGACTTGATTATGCCTTAGAGCACGTGACGGCGGCTAGAGTGGTCTTCACCGATAACGTGTAAACTAAATTATAAACAATTTGTATTTTACCAGGTAAGGCCCACTGAGCTATATAGCTCTTTTTCAGAAGCGACCTGGCTTTCGCAAATTATAGCCCAACGAAGCGGCTTATCACGTGGACATTGATTATAAATGTGGAGGGAAAAACCAGAGGACCCGGAGAAAAATCCACACGACCACGGGGAGAACATTCCAAACTCCAAATTTACAGGCGTTGCCAGGGTCGGGATCAAACCCACAACCTCCTGTATACCAGGCGAGGCAGTTAACATCTCGCCACCGTGACTGTGTACTCATGCGTTCTTCTTCTATCGCCCAGGCGAGGCACGTGTCCTCAGCCGAGACGGTGGTGCTCTTCCTCTTCTACCAGCCCATCCCGCACCAGTGGAGGGAGACCGACTTCTTCCCTTGCTCCAGCTCCTGCGGCGGAGGTAAAAAAAAAACGTCCGCCGCTGGGAATCGCTCCTCCCACCTCTTTCACCACCGCGTGAATGAGTTGGAGTCCCACGGCTGATGCGCGAATGAGCGGCTTTTTGGCTAACCGAATGAAGAAAGATGGTGGTCACCGCTCTCGTGCGCTTTCAGATGCCCTTCTGTGGCCGCCTCGAACGCTATTCCTTCCGATATTAGGAAGCCACTGGAGCTATGCACTTTTAAATCTAAATTGAAAATGTATTTCTTGAGAATAACTTTTGTGTTTAGTTTGTTGTCCTTCCCCCGCACCTCCGAATTAGCATGGTTGGCGACGTACGGTGTGAAAGAAGTTCAGCATAATACATACCTCCCAGAAAAGTAACACTTAAAAACGGTTTTCAATTGAAATGAATAGTGCGATGAAAGCGACGGGGCCTCATTGGCGTCAGCGGTACTGCTGCAAGTCACGTGGTGGGCATGGAACCATTCGTGATAAGCGGTAACGATGGGAAAGTGTAAGTGCAGTTCTGGAAATCATTGAGTTGGTTTGCCATATTGATGTATTAGTCGACACTTTGAATTCAATGTGACTTCTTCCTTTGTCTAGTGATGTACCCTGGACGAGTCTTATGGTTGGAGCAACATGCGATCGAATGCGTTCATGTGTGTTCATGAATACCATCGTGTTTTATGAGCAAACAGACACGTTGACATTTTGGCATCATGCGGACAGACCCGTTTAATGTGTTTGTGTATCTGCGCTTTTTGTAATATGTCGTGGTGGTCTAGTCGCCCCATGAGCCTGCCTCTGTTTGTGTGCATGTGTGTGTGGTCTTCTGATGTGCAACAAAGTATTAATAATGGCATTAGTGACTTCATTGAATTAGCGCCCGAGGTTATTGGGCATGCCTTTAGTACCAGCATGTTTAGCAGCCTAATCACCCAGTATCTGGAAATTTAACGGGGTTTCTCAGTGCCTTTCTGCCTTAAGGTTCACGAAACCAATGCAGTTGTTTTCCTTATCCTCCAGTGAAGGCTATCCAAACAACTACCCCGAGGTTCTGAGCATTTAACCACCGCCTGGCTCATTACGCACTCGCCCCAGTGTTTCCCCTTCGCACCTCCCTGCGCAGTTACCGTCCCGCGATTTTCACAGAGTGCACACGCCAAGGGTGAAACAATAATAGCGCTGTCACCGAAAACCGAATTTCAGCCCTAAGTGGGACTGACTGCTCGTGTGCAATGTTATTGCAGCAACATTGCAAAGACCGCGGTGCCAAAACTGTTATTGCTAACAAATGGGCCACATCATTATTCTCTTCTCTGTTAACGTGGCCTCTGCCTCCAATTTGTTGCATACCAGATTAATTTCTGACGTGTCCGGGTGTCATGGAGAAGCGGGGCTGTTGGTGTAAAAAAAAAAATATCCCCGTTGCCCCGTGCAGTATTTTGGAACGTGCGGGCAGTGCTGCGAGCCCGACACCGCCGCCGTTTCTTTCGACCCGTCCAGCTACTGTCACTCAAAGGACAGGACGCGTCCCGTCAAGACGGATTAGCGTGCTCGTCGCTGGCAGCTACCACAGAGGACGACGTTGCGAGTGGCAATGTCGAGCGATCCCCCTTTTAAAATGATCGCTCGCGAGGCGCTCGTGTTGGTAATCTTTTACATTTTAGTGAGTTTGGCCACGACCTTTTTACGGAACTATAAGCGGCGGTGGGGGAACATTACGTCCCTTGTTGGGGTTTTACGCAAGCGGTATGGCATTGGTGATATCCATGGGGGTACTTTGCATTTTCAAGCACTCTCTTGCCTTTAGATGTTCTGCTCTTTTGACTGTGGAACAGTCATTAAAGTAGGAATCTTCATGAACAATGACATGCCTCCCTCTGAAAGTGATTAGACTTTGTCACAGCAAGAACTGGAATTCTGCCCCTTGTTCTAAGTTTGGTGTTTTGGTCTGAAAACTCCAGACACGATTGCAGATTGCGATGAGGTCAGGATGTTTACTGGTACCCGTTTTAATTTCATAGGCCTTACATATGAGGCTAAGTTGACCTTCATTTTAATAACCTCACGAATTCAGGGAATTCAGAAAAAAGAAGACGCGTTTCACATTTTGCATTTTTTCATGTGGTGTTAGTCATTTTTATTAAAGATCTTAATGGGCAACATTTCTGCGAGACGAAGCTCAACACATTCCTTTCTTCTTCATCAAGTTTCATTTTACAAAGTTCGTACATACAACACGAATTGTGTGTTTTTCACGTGTCAATTATAAGCAGTGTATTGCTAATGTTTCAATGCATTTCCAAACTTCATACTTGTTTAAAAAAAGCTACAATGTCAATGATAATAATAATAATGTTTTATGTTCTTTGCCAAGCCACTGTTGGTCATGGCCGTTGTTTGACCATACTTCACCACATTGGCCAGTATGAGTTGGTAGACAACGCTCACCACTGATATCAGCTGCGGCCAGCAATCAAACTCAAGATTGCCGGCTTCATAGCCACACATCGCTCACCACTGCACTTCCACTCCCCAGGTTCACCAACGTAGCACGTGTTAGTACGTATCGACTGCCTCCACTGGATTCACTTACCCCTGCCATAGGATTGTGGGAATTTCTACCCATCGGTTTAGGCCTCCCAATTAAGGCAAACAGTTTGACTTGTGTACGTCATGTACAACGTTACACAAAGCAAGTGTCTCGTTTTCATTAAGCACACTTTGACGTGCATATTATTAAAACGTACATTTTCGTCATCTGCCGTGTCCAAAATTAAACACTTCACGGGCCGTTGATCGCGCATTGCCGTCGACGGGAGCAGCAATGGAATGAATGCGTGAAATACGAGGTGAGCGATGGCGTGGACTATGGGACCTAGACCATATCTGAGACATCAACAAGCGCGCATCTGCAATGGCACGTCGACGTTGGAAAAGTCAGAGACAGTGACAGAGCGGCGAAGCTGGGGAGGATAGCGCGTGGCTTCTCGCTGCGGCAAAATTCGCGGCGGTTTGTCGAATCGGAGCGACCTAAAGCACCGGAGTCGGCGCTGAGCTGGTGGGAGACTGCCAGTTGGTGCCTCCAGTTCGAGCGGTCCAGGCAGATAGGTGTTTTGTTGCCTCCAACAGGTGTTTGTATGAATCGTGGAGTGCCGTGTGATTTATAGTGGAATTGATGGTAATATACTCCCCGCAGGACGCACCGCCCATGTGAATACAGGCACAGATGTCCCTGGCTGCTTAGAGCAGAAATATTCGCCCTATATTTAAAACACATATAAATAAACTCTTTGAGTCCACGTTTGAATATTGCACAAATCTAATTCATCATTATAATGTATTAACACTTTCAAACTTTTAATTAGGGTATACGATTTCGAAACAACAACAAAAATATTGTAGCATCGATATCTTTCAATCTGGAAGTGAAACATTTTTTCAAATTAAACACCATTGGAATGTAATGTTGAAAATGTAAGTGCTGTGAAAACTAACAGTGTCCGCTTATAAGTGTTATGTAAACTAATCGATGTAAAATTCAGCGGCAGAACCATGTGGAATAAATATACACATTAGACGCGTATAGTTTGGCATGTAAATTTTTACTGTCATTCATTTTGTCTGGAATGTTCAGAGCTGAATTTAAACAACTTGGAAGGGGTGTGTGCGGAGACCGTTAAAATATGGAGAAAATGTATTTCCCCCCGAATGTAAAATGTATTGTTTTGTAATAATTGCTGCATTACCTAATACGGAAAAAATAGCTTGTGGGAATGCCCTAAGTATGTATGAAAAAGCAAGCAACACTTGGTTGACAACACCATTGCCTTTCTTTACGTTGAAACTGCAACAACTTACAGACCCAAAGTGTTTGGCTCATGTATTACTGGCCTGGCTATGATTTCATATCCATCACCAGGGGAGACTCAAAAATCCTAGCCACCCTTCTGAATTGTAGAGCACTCCAAACTACATACACTACACCTGCACAGGCAATACCACACATTGTTCAAGACCTAGGAGCCAATTGGTAAATTATTAGAGTCTGTTCTAATATGCGGTATGGTTATATTTGGGGATACATTAAAAGCAGACATATTGCTGTGGTGTAATTATTAGCACACTAGACTTGCAATCCAGCAGTTTAAACAGACACGCCACAGTTGGTCGGCAGGCAGGTCACGTGTGGTGGTGGGATAAAGTGTGGGTACTCCCACCTCTTCAAATATATTTGGCCAGTGTGGAAGAGTAGGCCAAAATTCCCTCCAGAGAGGGGCTCTCTAAAGCTCCCGCTAGTGGAGGCCCTTCAGTCAGCAGTGGCGTGGGCAAGCCAGTTGAGGGCTGAACCTTTACATTTCTCATGAACATATATTATTATACTCACAGTGCATGCATTGAACTATGTATGTAAGAAGCAACTATTAATATTTATACTTATATTCTAACATCGCAATGAATTACTATAGAGCGTTATAGATTCGTAACTGTTCTAGATTTTACATATAGTACAAGGACAGCATTTTGTGATTTTTTTAATGAAACTTTGGCCTCACATGGTGAGAGGTCATCAAATCGTTGAGGGGGTGAATCATCACACTCCTAATAGCACGCATGTTTAGAGGAGACTTTGTTATTTGGGTAGAGAATGTGACTCCACCTGGATGAACCTTATCCACGGAATGTCCCAGGATAATTAAACACTGAATTAGAATCAGGATCTTTATTTATAAGGGAGGAAGTATCACAGCACATGGGAACGCAGGCGGAAGGCATTTGCACTTGCGTTGAACTTTCAAGGTGGGTGATAGAACTCATAAAATCACGTAATGATGCAATCATGCCCAGAAAACAGAATATCTCACGGAGTCATAAATACCGCTTGGGAACAGGAAAAACACTAATGCGATTCAGCTGCAAATTCTCTAACTTGTGTCTGTAATCCACACAAGGGCAGTGGAGGTGGCAGCGTCATGGGGTGAATTCCAACACGGGGGCTGTAAAATTGCTGTGTGCCCAGCATCACGATGATTTCACACAAAGCCGAGCCTCTGTTCTTAAAGGAAATGTCTGAGATTTCAGGGCAGCGAGGGCCCGGCCAAGTAAATTCCAGCATCACTTCCTGATGCCAGACGTTCATGATGGCATCTGGAATTGTCGTAATTTTCAGCACCATGACTCCGTCGTCAACCATGTTTTTGTCAACTGCTGGATGAAAGCCTTCCCACGCCATCGTATCCCTCATGGTCCGACAATTTCACGATCCATCTCACTCGCACAGATGAGCTGAAGCTCCATCTCTGTGGCAATCACACTTTTGGGTGGGGTTCCCTCATTTGCCTGCGAATCCATCACTAGCCTTGTCAAATCAGCCATCATCTCTTGCAGTGATATGTCCTGCTAAATCCACTTACTTTCAGTGATGTATCTAATTTGTGTTCTATGTTCCATGTATCCTATTTCTGTCTGTCAGTGTAATTCCCACCATGTATTTCTCCAAGTTTCTTTGTGGACCTCTCAGTATTTGTTCCATTTAGTTTGTATCCGTGTCCATGCCAATTATACATAGCCATGGTAGGTAACATGTATTGTTTGTAAACTATCTTTAATCACATTAAAAGGTTTCCATTCCCAAATGTAACTTTCTAGAAACTCACCATTTTTCACTCTTCTGTTTATTTATTAGAACGGTTGGCTATGTACGGAGCAAAAGAAGTCAAACATACATACGTGCATTTAATTTCCCTGATCCCGGTTCACCTTCAACAAAAAGCCACAAAAAGGAATTTAAAAAAATCTTAAATCCAAAATGTTATTAATTCAAAACTCATACCTATGCCCGAGGTATTCAATACTCTGGTGTGTTTTCAGTTGTGCCCCTCTGGCATGCGTATCTTCAAATGTTTGACAACGTTGTTGTCCAGAGACACAGCAGACAAAGGAGGTGTTCTCAGTGTGCTGCCCCCAGGTCTGGCTTTCTCCGTCTCTGTATAGGCCTCCTCCTCTTCTCCATGTTCTTGATTTTTTTTATGCCGGCACCGTTACAGAAAAAAACCGAGCGTGCATTGGTGACATTTATAGAGAGAACAAACATGACCTGCTCACCTTGACTTCCCTGCAGTTAGATGCACCCCGCCTCCACATAACCTAGGAACATTCCGAAAATACACCGACAAAAATTGCGATTGCTTCAAATGCAAAACGTAAAACTGCGCTGTGAAGAGTGCGGTGAAACATTCCAGAGAAGTGTTCTGCAATGCTGTTTTTATTTGAACAGAGTGTCTTTCATGTTGATGGGTCTGTGATCAGTTTAAATGTGATCTCGGTAGTTGTGTTTGAAACTGAAATGTGTCGACTGAGTCAGTGGGGTTCAGCTCACAACTACAAAGTACTCCAAAGTGCCACCCATAACCACTATCTATAAATCTAACCTCTTACCCTAATATTCACCCAACCCGCATTTTAAATCTATTGGACTTGACTTGAGTCAAATCTCATACAACCTCATCGCACGACACTTAGATCAATCAGAAGGCCTACAAACACCGCACCAATTCACATAGCACCACATGTTTTAAGTACCCCACAACACACAACTGCGAGGCATATGAAAGGGTGTTATAAAGACAGGTGAAGTTAATAAATTAAACAAAGCTGCCATTGGTAGGATCACACCTGATGTTAAGTGTATATGTAAGGGAGATTAAATCAGAAGGTCAACACTCTCTTGAGATCTCTTTGCTATGTACCATCTGTCAATCACTCAACATGGACTCTTCCTAAACTAAACTATTTTATTTTTATTTTACCAGGCGAGGCCCACTCAGCTACATAGCTTTTTTTCAGAAGCGACCTGGCCACAAATGATAGCAGAGCAAAGTGGCTCATCACGTGGGAATGTATAGTAGCCAAATACTCGAATCGCACATTTCTAAACGTGGAGGGAAAAAGCTGGGGGAACCGGAGAAAAATCCACACAACCGTAGGGAAAGCATGCACATCCCAAATATAGAGACGCCAGGGCTGGGATCGAGCCCACGCACTTATATATACCAGGCCAGGTAGTTAACATCTCACCACCATGGCACATCTGCTCAACTCATACCCAAAGAGACACATGTGCTTGCACAGTTCCACACTGCACTCTATTGGCTGTGGGCCATCAAGGAAACACATTCGTGCGGAGGGAGCTGGTAGGAACGTTGGGTTGCTCGGTCCATGGCCAGGGTCAACGGCGGCGTGGTGTATTCCGCAAATATGGCCGACTGTGAGGGCGGGCACAAGCCGGCGTGAGTAGGTTAAACGTTGAGTTTTATAAGGGCACCACGGGGTGACCAGCCCCTCCCCACCCAGCCCCACCCCTCCCACCCCCCACCCAGCCCCACCCTCCCCACCCCACCTAGCCCCTCCCCACCCTCCCCACCCAGCCCCTCCCCACCCTCCCCACCCAGCCCCTCCCCACCCTCCGCTCTCCACTCAGCCCCACCCCTTTCGGTAAAGTCACGTAGATAGGTTCAAATTAATAAAAAATAAAATAAACAAAAACTACGACGTTTAGATCGCAACACAAGCGTTCGTCATCAGGCGGAGAGAAGGGGGGGGGGTAAGCCTCTAAATGCAACTGTTTATAAAGGTTTAATTCGGCGTAACCATAATTTGTAATGTGAATCCGGTGCCTCTTGACACGCATGGGGCTCTGAAGCTTGTGCTTAGTTTGCCTTTGTCTTGTGCCACCACCGAAGAATCTTCGCGCTTCTCAAGCGGACACACGGAGCGTCCGGGTCCGTGCAGCGCGATCAGCTGACCATTGAGTTTCCCCGTCTGTGGCTCAGGCTACCAGCTGACGTCGGCCGAGTGTGTGGACATGCGGAACGCCCGCATCGCCTCCGACCACTTCTGCAACTATTACCCCGAGAACAAGAAGCCGAAGCCCAGGCTGCGGGAATGCAGCATGGAGCCCTGTCCATCCAGGTAAGGAGGAGCACCTGGCAAGGTGGGGCGCGGTCAGAGTGGCTCAAGCAGCCCGTGGTGCCCGTGCTTTGGGCTTTAAGTGAAAGTCACGTGGCTGGGCGGCTCCAGGTTTTGTCGATGCTGCTGCTGCTGTCTCGTTACTAATTGTGTGGCCCGATTATCTTCTCGATGGGCAAAAGATATTCACCAAAGCAAAACTAACTTCCAGTCAGTTTAACACGTGGTAGGCTTTCGCGACCAATGTTATCCATAATAGAAGTATAATTGTGTCGTTAAACCCACCACCACCCGACACAGCCAATTAGTAACATTGGTTTGCTCTCCAACGCACCGGCGTGCTGAACTAGTAACTAATTGGCATGTTTATTTTACGTGACACACCTTATAATTGGGTGTGTTGGGTGGTGGTAGGTTTAACGACACATTTATATATTTACGCGATCTAACCCAAAGCAACCTCTGTTATGGATAACTTAAAGCCCTGTATCACTCCACCACTGGGTGGAGGTCTCCAATGCCGTATCAGTCACGTGAGTTCTTTGGCCATACATCACCACGCTGGGCAGTGTAGGGTTTGGTGAACGGGGGCGATGGTCCAGGTTCAAATATCATTCGACAACTGATGTTAGCTGTGATCGGGAATGGAACTCGAGCGATTGTGGGTTGATAGCTGCGGTGCGTGACGCAGCGCCACCACTCCGCCCTCGGGAAACGCGCTGTGTGGCACATGTACTCTATCGCGTTTGCATATACAGGGACTCCTCTACTTACGAACTAGTTAGGTTCCAGAGGTTTGTTCGTGAGTCCAACTTTACTCCTGTCGTTTCCAAACATGTTGTATGGCATGTACGCTAAACACGGGGAATGGCTTTAAAAGTTATAGATGCCATTGGTTCTTCATGTTCTACAGGTGTAGATTGCCACCACCGCCATCTATTGCGCGGGGCGGTCGAACTTACGACTCTCGGTCTGAACAAGCAACTGGGACATATGGACCAAGTTTGTTCGTATCTCTGAAAGTTCGTAAGTCGAATGTTCGTAAGTAGAAGAGTCTCTGCATACTGTATGGCTTTTGCTGGTCAGCTTCCTCTTTGAGTCCACACATGCTGTACGGACGGGGGGCTTGTTCTCGAGTGTATGGACACTCTGAGACTCAATTTGAGTTCATATGCAGGGTGGTGTGTAAGTTTTCTCGACCCACCCCAGCAACGGTGTTTTTATGATAATAAAAGACCCCTTGCTGCCGTCACTGGGGTAAGCATCCTACGCCGCTCACGATCCCCCACCACCAACCCTGCACATGTGCATCGAGCTTCGTGAGTGACATTAGTGCGTACTCTTAGTTTTTTCGGTAAAGTCACGTAGGTAAAAAATGAAATTAAAATTTATAAAAAATAAAATAATAAAATCACGACGTTTCGGAGGCAACACAAGTCTCCGTCATCAGGTGGGACCGTCACAGCCACTTTGGTGCATTGTCTGCTGCTGCGAAGGCATCGCCGATAAACGCAGTCCCGCATTGTTAATGTCTAATCGCATCGACCACCCCGTGGGCTGACGGAATGCGAACGGCAGTCCGTAGTGTCCACGGGTGTTAAAAGTAATCACAGCGGGGAGAGATTAGTAACGGAGGTGACCGGATTTAAGTGCACCGTGAAATGCCCGTTCAATGCAAGAAGCATCTCTTTTTTAAGAGTCTATAAGTCGACTCGGAAAGAATGTTTTCCAAACCGCAGGTGGGGGCATGGGGGGGGAGGGAGGACCAACCCTCACCGACCCGGGTTGCGTAAACGTTCAAGCAAGGCTGAGTCAAACAACGGCCGGTGCACCGGGGGGGGGCTTCTCGTGTACGGAGGGCGCAAAGGTCCACCCTACATATAACGTATTCCACCACGAACGCACGTGCCATGCGACGTTGCCTGCGCAGGTGCACATGCGAAAGGGTCAAAGGTGAATACGGCAGAGGGGTGGTGCCACCGCGGCCACTTCTCTTGGCTGCTCGTCGCGGTGCAGCAAAAGCGCGGGGTCATCCTTCCTCCCGTGTAGGCCACCTTTCGCCTTTTACAAAAATAATTCTCCCCTAGGAGAATGGCACTTGCTTGCAATCTCGCATGTTTCGAAGCCGAGCCCTGTAAATCGCACGTGTACGAGTGCGGCTCGAATTTGTAGATGGACTCGGGCGAGCGAGACAAAAAAGTGGTTCGAGAATCTCTTCCCCGTGACATCAGCGCTTGGACATGGCACGCAGCGGTGTCAGCGCGCGTCTGCCAGCGACGGCGTTTGCTTTTTTTCTGCTCGGGAACAGCGCCTGGGAACTCGTTACCTCTCTTCACGAGCGCATGCCAAAGCTCGCCTGATAATTATAATTGAGCTGCCCAAAGCAATATCAGGCTTGGGGCACAATGCCAACGGGGTTTGTTCTCGTGTAATTGTAACTGATGCAGACGGTCTTTTGGCAATGATGCCAAACGCACTGCACTGCGTGGCTACACCTGCAATGCACGCATTGAGCAATGCGATTCTGTGCCGATCTACCCCAGGCCCCGTGAATGCCATTTATAGGAAGCTTGCTAAGCGAAAATGTGGTTTTGATTTGAATGGAGCTGCGGACTCATTTGCGCTAATAAGTAAAATGTAAAAACACAAATGTAAAATCTACATCTGTCATTTGAAAGACTTAGTGTGTCGTGTTTCACGAATATAGGGCTGCGTGGTGGTTATGTTTTAAATAAGACATAGACTTTCCCCCATTGTTATGTTATATATATTATTTTGCTCCTATAGTGCATATGTGGCACTATTGTATTTGTCCAAAAAAATTGTTTTATTCACAAAGATTTTGGGCTCATCTCAGCTTTGGAGCAATTTCACAAGTGAGCATTGTGGGTCCAGTAGTCATGTGACTCTGCAATAGCCAATCGTACGAGCCACTCGACACGTTTTGGAATTGTTTTTCTTCCACAAACCAAAAAGAAAAACCTCGCGTAAAAGATTGCATAGATTGGGAGAACTGCAATGAGCCACAGTTTTGTGGCCGTGTACTGCAGTGAACTTTAGTAATTTATCGGGAGCAAATGCCCTTTTTTCTTCCTGCTTATCGTGGTGTCACATTGCACCTGCCTCGTGACCGGGTTCGCACGCTCGTTCAGCTGCCAAATCCACATGTGCAGCTCAAATATTTACTCTCTTTTTTAACACGAGGAATCGCAAACAATGGCGACAGATGCATGAAACCTTCCACAAACTCGGAGCTGTTATTGCCATTAACGTGCTGACGTCAAAAATGGTGAACTTTAAACGTGGCGTGGTTATTTGTAATAACGAAATGAATGAATTACAGTCTTGTGTCAATCTACTGCATTATGAAGATCTCCGATGCCATGTCGGGAATTGAACTCAGATGGCCTCGTTGCAATTGCATATGACAAATGCTTCTCAGTCCACACATTAGTCCTAAAGTCACACTTTATCTGTTTAAATGTTTAATCTTTTTGTCAAGTAATTTTGTAATTGTACTATGATCAGTCTAAAAATAATCCGTCTGAGTCAACATGCACTGCAGGAAATTGTCTATTTAACTTTGAATTCGCAAGTATTTATGTTTGTGCAATAATTTTTTATTCTCGCGTGATACAGTTTGTTTTTTAAGGCTCGTGTTTTTGTTCTGATTTCTATTTGCTTCAATGCGATTCTTCATTTCATTCGTTTTCCTTTTTTGCCAGTGTTCGTGACCCCGTCAATCTTGCAAATGATAATTATGCAGGGTCTCTCACCTGGCAAACATACAAACAAAATAAACAAAATCAACTTTAAACTTGAACTTGGTTCATAGCGTAGTGCGCTGAATACCGCGTCAGCACACCGCCCACATTTCGTTAAAAAAATTCTCCAAAATGTATTCAAGGAGTTTGTAGCTTTTTTTTTTTTGTAAATATCTTTAAAGCAGGTTCACTCTGCATTCTCATTCATATTTTTGTTCCTCAAAGATCGAATTTCAACTAAAGAATGTGTCCTATCTAACACCTTGCCAATGCTGTTGGTTCCTTTGAGACGACATTATTTTCTGTGGGAATATAAGCTTGCACACAGAGGCACACACATGCATAGGTACTATACTTTACGCGAACCGATGTGCAGTAATGCTTTAACGCATTTAAAAGCAAAGTGAGCGTGCGATGTTGTGTACTCTCTGCCGTTGTTTTTGCAGCGATGGATTCAAACAGATTATGTCTTACGACCACTACCAGCCCCTCCCACGGTGAGTGATGACGGCATGCGGGAACACTTAGCGCGCGGCACGCTCTGACCCCCGACCCCTCACTTTCTCCACGCTCGCCGATCGCGATGAAGCTGCTTCAAGAAAAATAAATGTGCGAAAGAAAAATGTATAAAATTGGGAACACGTGAATGAATAGTTTTTTTTAAAAAAGCCAAGACAAACGAGAAATTGTCAGCTTGATGCGTTGCACACGTCACTTTTTTTTCTTACCGCTGAAAAGAACGCTGCTGATTTCTGACGCGCTTTGAGAGTGGATGTTATTTTTCTCTTGGCATTAATTCGTATTATTACAGTTAAAGCAACGCGCTGCTCGATAACCGAATGTGGGTCTAATAATTCAAGTGCCAGAGCTGGCTGACTCTTTGTTACTCAATGAAATTCATGTGAAGTGTCCCGTTTGCTGAACTGTAAATTGGCAACATGTGGAAAATATTGCAAGCAGGATTGTGTCAGGGAAAGAGCGATAATCGTTTTAAAGTACATTCAGGGCATCTGTATTTATAATGGCAATATTCCTCGCTTTTTATTGCTTTCTTACTAACTCTTCATTCCAATGATAGGCATATGTATGAGATAGCGTTATTTTTTCCTTATGTAATATTTTTTTGGTATTTTATAACACTGGCAGACCTTTATTAACAATTCGTTATTTCAGAATTGTATTGGAACATCAACATGTTGATAAATGTATTTCAGTGATTGATGTCCTTCGGGTGAAAATCCATTCAGAGTCAACATCACTTTTTCTAAACATGTCCCTGTGTCAGTTCAGTTATATGAAGGAACGTGTTCACATATTTAATAATAATAATAACAAGAATCGTTTTATTTTTTTATGCATTGTGATGCTTGGCCAATTACATTTTTTCGATATTTCCAAGTGCAAGTAAATTGGAGTACCTCGAGAAAATCACCAACATTTGAGGTGATAACACGCAGAGCGGCGCACAGATGGATTCCATCCACTCGGTGTGCTTCTGTCTCCCGGGCACCGTGCATCCCGGTAGATTTGGGAGTTTGATCTACCAACCCTCACCTCCTAATTGCACCACTGCGTCCAGCTCAAAGCCAATTCAATAGCATGGAAATATTACATTGGTATTACAAGAAATACATGTCAGTTGAGTATTTTTACCAGCACAATAGTTATTAACGATAGGAATAGGAAATCTCCAAATCTTCGAGTAATCCGTTAGCTTGTAAATAGCATAATAGGCGCCATATGGAATCTCTCATTTAACAACAATGAACAATGGCCTGTGTCTGGCCTATAAGAAGTTCAACATACATAGATACATAGTTCCCCAATGCTGGCAGACAAGGGAAAGTGTTTCTCTGCTAAAATCAACATGGGGCAGTAACCCACCTCTATTGCTATACCTGAGCCAGTTTTGGATATCCCACATTCTTCTGGCAAGAGCCATTCCCTCCATGAGACTTTCACTGTCCCGCAATGTGGCACTCAAAAAAGATGGTGAACGCGTTGTAGTGCATGAAGGTGCTTCGTGGTATTACACATGATTAAATCCAGCTTGTACGCAACTGCAATGAAACCCGAGTGAGGAACTTAGATCAGGATTAATTGGGTGGGAAAATATTGGTCATGAAGCCGACTCGTCAAGGTTAGGTTCGGGTTAGGCAACATTAGCCGAAGGCGAGTTGGCAATTTTTCACACGAGCACAGCTGACTGAGTTTGATGACACAAATTGGAGTGGTACAAAAAAAAAAACATGCAGAAAACAAGGTGCATTCTCTAGTTAATCCCTCACACGTGCATGGCCCCAGTAAGGGCTTCTGTATTGTGTAGAGGTGTAAGTTAGGGCGGTTGGTGGGTGCCAGGTTTTTTTTTCCTGAGAGTCGATTTTTTTTTTCAAAATCCACACCAGCGCCCCACCTTCTTGTGAAATGATAGATGTGGAAGTGTGCAAGCGTGTAATTGTATCTGCGCACGTGTGCGTTTGAGCATGGCTGCGTACGTGCGACAGGTCCTTGCACCGATCTACGATACTAATCCAGCGATCTGGGTTCGGCCCCGTGAATGGTCGTGTCGCCCTTCTCAATGAGCGTTGGGCAGCGGTCCGCCCTATTGGTGGCCCAGAGCCACCGGTGAAAATGTCATACTCCGTGGCAGGGTCCGGTTCCACCATGAGGACAGCTACTTTTGACTCCTCAAAAAAGTGTTACTCATTTTATCAGCTCCTTTGATATGACGGTGCCACGCGGCTGGGTGATAGAAATAAGAATAATAACAATGCCCTCGATTTCTTTATTTTTCCACAAATGCATCACAACATTTTTTCATGAAAGCCCTGTCAAGGATGTTTGTCCTCTTCCTTATCAAGTATCTGACAGGTAGCCGGAGAACACCCCACACATACGAGAAGATAACGCTCAAAATAATGCAATTTAATGCAAACAGCCTACTTGCTGTACTGCAAAATCTATTGGGAATCTTGAGAGTTCTGCAAGGTTGGGTGTATCACGCACACGAGGACCTCTGCAAGATCCAGCGACCAGGGGGAAGAGGGCTAATGACGTCTGCATGACAATTGATATTGAGTACACTGCAAGGACACGGCTATCACCGTGGCCATCTACAATGCGGCGATGCTGTTCGTTATTTGTGCTATCAGAGCCACGGCTCGGCTTCTGCAGTGGAAAAACAACCGGGCACCTGCTGAGCCACGCCAGGCTGGCTCTGCTCAGTTGTACAGTGGAAAAAGAGCGATAAGGGGGGGGGGGGCATACGGTTATTGTCTGCCCAGTGGCCTGCCTGTGAAAGATCAGGACATCTATTGACTATTTAATTGTCTTCACTCCTTTAAAAGAGGAATGGACGAGATGCACTCTGCTTCTGAACAGACAATTGAGTGGATGACGAATCTAAGATTACATCTTTAATCTGCTGCTATTGATCCATACGAAAGAATAAGACAATTTTTATTTGACCAGGTAAGGCCCAATGACCGACACAGCTCTTTTTTCTGAATCGCACCTGGCTATCGCAAATGACAGCTCAGCGAAACGGCCCATGACGTGCAAATGTGTAGCAGCCGAATACTCTGAACGCACGTCGATTCTAAATGCGGAGAGGGGGAAAAGAACCGGAGGACCCCGGAGGAAAATCCACGCGACCAGGGGGAGAGAGAGAGAGAAAGAGAGGCACGCAAACTCAGTGTGGGTTGTGGACGTGGCCCGTGCAGGTGGGAGGGAAGCCCGTGGACGGCGTGCTCCAGCTCGTGCGGCGGCGGCGTGCAGTCGCGCTCCGTGTCGTGCGTCGAGGAGGACCAGCAGGGCCACCTGGAGACCGTCGAGGAGTGGAAGTGCATGTACGTGCTGCGGCCGGCGGTCACGCAGCCCTGCAACCTCTACGACTGCCCCAAGTGGATGGCGCAGGAGTGGTCTTCGGTAGGGAGAAGCGGTGCCTGGCGAGGGAGTCGACGACGATCACGACCCTAACACGTGGCAAATATATTCACGTTTCGCCAATTCAATTTATCCAATTTTGATTTTTTTTTTTTTTGCAAAATATCTCTATTGTTGCTGTGAATAGCCACGGTGAGATTGTATCGCCTTGTCTTTTTTTTATGAATCTGGTTAATAGTCTATTCATGGTCAATTGCAAAAAAACTTTTCTAAAACCAGTTTGGTCTCATGGTTGGTTGGCCTCTAAATTAACCATAATTTCTTGTTCTATGGTATTCGTGAAGAGTTTACACAAAGTGTGATGATGATCGCAGACAGCACTGCTGTCAATTACTACAACAACACAAATAGACGTCAAAGTAAAAGTTGCTCTTCTCTATTGACAGTACTGAGCAGGTGGTGGAAATTCCACATTCCCATGCCTGAGGCCAGTTTCTCCATGAAAACTTTGATAATTTCTCACAGAGTGGTATTCATTTCATCGAACCCATCGGGACAGGAGTCTGAGTCGACCCCTGACCATAACTTGAACGCACCATCTTCAAGTGTTTATAACAGCATTGAACAAAGAGACAATGCTATATTTGTGTTCTATGGTCGGGCTCTTGGTCATCCTCCCAAAGTAATACAAACAATAGCCAAGTTTGTTTATTTTATTCGACTGAATTTGACAAATTATTCTTGAAATGTGGTATTGTTAAATGCATCATAAATCGCTGATTGTGGCTGGCAATGAGAGACTGGAAACAGCAGATGGTGTGGAATGAATTTATCTCAGTTACATTTATTGTGATTCCCATCAAGAGCAACATTCATGGTGCAACACGCTTAGTAATCGCTCAGCATGCCTCCTCCCCCGAGCAAACACAAACTATTAAGAGGCCAGAAAAAACTTGTGGAGCCAGCAAAAGGGGTCATCGTTGTGGGATATCAAAGGCAGTTTGAAGGGCATTTGCCACATCAGATTCACCACGTTGCTCGCTTTGCACAGGTCAGTCAGTGTACGATGTAGCTTCGTGCCAAAAGCTGTCATAATTAATCCAACTGTGCTTATTCTATGGTTCTTTCGGTAAAGTCACGTAGATAGAAAAAATAATAACAATAAAATAATTAAAATGAAAATATCACGACTTTTTTTGATGACGATTGCTCGTGTTGTGATCGAAACGTTGTGATATTTGTATTATTTGTAATTCACTTTATTCTTATTATTTTATTGTTATTATTTTTTCTATCTACGTGACTTTACCGAAAGAACCATAGAATATGAATTCCTGCAGTCACGAAAGTTGTATGTCAACATTCAACTGTGCTTTTCCAACGGGAATACTATTGGGCCATTAAACAAAAAAAACGTCGTGTTTATAGTCTTGGTTCTTTCGGTAAAGTCACGTAGAAGGGAAACAATAAAATAATAAAAATATAAAACAATAACATTTTATTGTTTTACATTTTTATATGAATCCCTGCAGTTACGAAAGCTTTAAATCAAAACCTCGTGTTTGTTTTTTGAAACGGCAACATTTGAAATCCATATAATGTTGCCTTTGTTTAGTTTAATATGTAACGACTCCGACGACGATGTAGTAAGAGCCACTTTATTTTGACACAGCCACAATAAGGGACCCTAGGCTTCGTGCTTTGTCTTCAGCTTGTAACCTCCTCCAGACATCCCCACTCCGCGTGCACCCCCCTTTCTGGAACCTTCATGTCCTTGTTTTTTTCCCTTAGCCAATCCCTGTCCTTCCCCTCGAACGGGTACTCTCTGTTTTCTGCTTAATCCCGTTCAAACCTTATTCCTCCAATCCCTTTAAAAGTCTGCCTCCCGACCAATCACCATGGAAGCCTCTTTCTACCAATCGGAGACCTTTGTTCATTTTTAAATAGTCGTTAGGCTGCATATTGGCTTCATTTTTCGGTCATTACACATGTAAAAAAATGTTAGCAAACTACCAAAATAATGAAACTCCCCGTTATTCAATTCCACTAAAGCAATGAATAATTGGTTATTCATTTCTGTAACTTTATTAAAAGCATTTTATCAACAAACCATACGTACAATTACAAAAGAAACAGAACGCACAGGAGTTATCATAATTGCGTGGGCTCTCATCGACATTTGGTGGCTCTGAGCTCGAGTCAAAATTTCACATTCCCATGGTGGGGCCCACTTTATCCGTAAGATGGTCACCTTTGACCTACAAAAACGTTACGAATTTTGTCGACCCCCCCCGAGATACGATGGGCCGGTCGACCATTCTCCACGATTTAAACTCACAGCCTTTTTGATGACCAGCCAAGCACACTAACCGCAGCACGAAAAACGCGGTTGAAACGTCTGACGCGGCGAAGATCGATCGATTCTTGTCCGCGTTGACCCCGAGCCCACGGTCGCTGCCTGTTCCCATGATCACTGTTTCATTGCTTTTATGGCTTTATTTTGGTGATTTTTGAAAAAAAATTCGGTTTGGCCATGTTTGTTTGTTGTAGTACAGAGTTAGACTGATGGCCTTAATCTAAGTTGTCTTGTGGTTGTTGTTGTTGTTTGACTTGCATCCCACTGGGATTTTTGCACACAGCGTTGGTGTACGGTGCTTTTTCTGCAATATTTTGCTGTCTTTTCTTGGATTTTCTGTTTGCGCATAGTCACTTTGAGAAGTTTTCCTGTTCATGTTTTTGTTTTTTTGTTTGTTGCGGTTGCACCCGATTCAAGAGCCGAATGGCTCACAGGGCTATACCTAACAAATGAAACTTGAAACCTGTTGCTCTCCCGCAGTGCACGGTGACGTGTGGCCGCGGGCTCAAGTACCGCGTGGTGCTCTGCATCGACCACCGCGGGCAGCACACAGGCGGCTGCAACACCAAGATCAAGCCGCACGTCAAGGAGGAATGCCTGGTGACCACGCCGTGCTACAAGCCCCGCGGTACCCGCTCAGGCCCTCCGCCACCCACCTTGAGCACGGGGGCGTGGGGTGGGGGGGGGCGTGGAATGAATGCGTGGATAATGGACCGACGGGAGCACATGTCCCGATGGATTGATGGGCACGCAGATGGGCTTTTAATGCTCGGATGTGAGCGCGGATGGGTGGGTGGGCGAGCATGCGGGCAGACGAATCAAATGTCTTCGGGGGTGGCCAGGCTGATGGATGCAAAATGCATTGGATCGTGCGCGCTTCGTGTGAACGGACAGCCGGCTTGATGGATGCACAGGTGCGATGATGGGTAATGGAGGGAAAATGAGTGTACACACAACGTGCACGCGAGGCAGAGAATGGGGCTCACGGACAACTCCAATCAATCACGTGACTTTACTCACGTGCTCGCCGTGTACAATGTGGCGCGATGAATAGTTCGTCGACGAGCAGGCGTTGTTGGAAAGTTTAGGAAACGAAATTTTGGGGTTTTTTTTCTTTTTGTCTACGTGATTTTACCGAAAAAATTAAAATTAATAAAAGTCAAATAAAAATAAAATAAAAATCACGACGTTTCGGAGGCAACACAAGCTTCCGTCTTCAGGTGGAACCGTCACAGCACGATAGCTGTATCAAGTGAGAGAAATTCCAAGAACACAGTATTTGTTCACTTGATACAGCTATCGTGCTGTGACGGTTCCACCTGAAGACGGAAGCTTGTGTTGCCTCCGAAACGTCGTGATTTTTATTTTATCTTTATTTTACTTTTATTAATTTTAATTTTTTACCTACGTGACTTTACCGAAAAAACCCTAAGAATATGAATCCTTGCAGTCACGAAAGCTTCAAATCTAGAATTTACCGAAAGAACCAAGAATATGAACTCCTGCAGTCACGGAAGTTTTAAGTCAATTGTTTTAGATTAGTGACTTGCACTTTCGTTTCAAGCTCATGTTGAATTGTACAGAGGGAGACAATTCAACACACGGTAAATACAGATGAGATACATTCCCTATGTTTATTTATCTTTCAGGAGTTCATTAAAATAGACGTTATAAGTATAGTCACGCATTTGCGACACAACAATTCCTAAATTCAACACTAACATACCTAAAGTGTTATCTTCAATACGCACCAATAACGTTGATCTATTTTGGACATTATGGGACGCGAGATACGTTCACATTCACCGCTACAAAAGAGCACATCTTAAAACAACGGGGCAGCATAACAATCTTGCTGTACAGTTGGGTGGCATTGTGGGTAGAGCGAGTGACTGACAGTTGGAAGATCACGAGTTCATATTCTGGTGAGGTTAGCTCTGCCCTTCATCCCTCTGGAGATCAATAAAATTAGGACCACCTTGTGGGAAATCAACAGGGGGCCATCCTATGGAAAGAATCGCTCCTGCCATTGGGAGGAGCTATTTAGATCGTTTTAAGTGTTTGGCTGCTATAAATGTGCACGTGATAAGCCATTTCGTTGAGCTGTCGTTTGGGGGCCAAGTCGCTTCTGAAAGAGACCTCTGTATCTCAGAGGGCCTTACCGGGTAAAATAAAAATAGTTTAGTAGAACATTTTTTATTTATAGTGCTTTGCTTACCTTTCCTATACTTTGCACTCCTATCGTGTTTGTTGTATCGTTTGTTGTTGTAACGTTCTGATCCGCCCCTTACTGGACATCTGTGAAAAAGAGCTTCATAGCTTATCAGATTTCTCCGGGATAAATACAGATTCCGATTCTGGACGTGAAAGTTCCACCACTGACTGGCTTCAGGGCCGCGAGCGGAGATGAGAAGAGGCCCATGCTCACTTTAACACGCAGACACTTTGACCTTTTTTCTCTCCTTTGTACTAGAGAGGCCCGTGATTTATATCGGCTGCACGTATATACAGATCAAGGCAGTGTTTGCACTTGTCAGGGAGAGTTAGCGAGACCCAAACGGCGGGCAGACCTCGCAAAAACCGGGCCTGCTCGTGATGCGGAGTTATTTTGCCCTCAACGGACGACATAACAACAGTGAATGAGCCACACTCAGATCCTTCATGGAGCAATTAATAATGCCTGTCCTGTCCGAAAGCAACTCTTTACCACTGAGTAAACACAATTGGGCTCCTTCTCAGTGATGTGTGAGTTAGCGTGCAATGTAGAGAGGTGAGACGGTGTGGGGTGGGGGGGTCAAACTAGGGTGTATTTTATACATCTTATAGTGTCTTCAGTGACTGGATTTTACTTTCGAGTTGTGTCTACGCAGTTTTGTAAACAGTTTTGTAAACTGCGTGGAGTACCCTGGCCGTAATATCCCATTTGCAATAGACTTTCACACACAACCGTTCTATGTCGTTGCTATACATTAATTGAATGCTAAGTGAAAAGCAACATAATTGCAAACTAGCGCTACACCACGTGTGTGCGGATGGTAGTCAAGTTTTGATAGGCAATGTTGGGTTGATGTCTTTGCAATGATTCCACGATTTCAACGTGTCCTTTTGCAAAACAAATAAGTTACGACTTTTGTTTTTTTTATTCCTGTCGATCTTAAGATGGTTAATTCATTAAGTGCGGGGGAAAAAATCGACAGACAACATTTAATTTAAGAATAAAGTAAAGCCCATTGCCACTCTTCAGTTGGATGAAGGCATCCCTATGCTATGTCAGTAAACTGTGGGCCATGTCAGTGCAGGATGGGTTATCATACTTTGTCACACTGCTCAATATGAATTTATTAAGTCGGCGGATTGAGAAGGGGGCATCACCGATTCACATATATCACTCGCCGCTGATGTAAACCATGGCCAGGAATTGAACTTTCGCAGTTGAGATATAGTCGAGTCAAAATGTCGCCGCGTTCAAATAATTATTATCAAACAGTTCTCTTCCCTGTTGACAGCCATGGACTGACGGTGGTAATTCCACATTCCTCTCGTAGTGACCATCAAAGAAAACAACTGCGTCTTATTTTTGTCTCAAAGCACCACTATTATTCTTCTTTCCCGACGCGGGGCGCTGAGAGTGATTTCATTTGTCTGCTGTTGTTTTTAGAGAAACTTCCTGTGGAGGCGAAGGTTCCCTGGTTCAAACAAGCGCAGGAGCTCATAGAGGGCCCGGCGGTATCAGAAGAGGCAGCGTAAGTCTCTGTTCATCTCTTACGCTTGGCCCTACCTCCCCGCACATCCCTCGCTCCACTCACTCTCCACTCCCCCCCGCCCTGAGCAGCGCGAGTTGGGATTTAGTGTAAAAGCTCAGCCAAGGCAAAGGCGGCCAGGAAAAACAACAGAAAGCCCGGTCTCCTTTTTTTTTTACTTTTATAATTTTATTTTCTCCAGCGGCAATTGCGCTGGAGTATTTTCAATGCATCGGTATACCAGCCTTTATGGCCACACAATGCACCAGCCTTCATGGCAACAAAAGAAACAAGCACCGGCCCACGCGCCGCACCGGTACGCACAGCGTCGGCACCACATTCAATTTTACAATCGTGTCCCTTTTCGGAGCCCCGCCTTACGCATTTCCCCACCACATCGCCACCGCCGCCACACAGCCAGCGTCCGTCCCCGTCGCTTGTTTGTCTTCTCGCGCCGCACCGAGCCGTCGAGCTTCCGGAGCGCACGGCACATCTCGCTCGCTCACGGAACGGCACGGGCCCCCCCCCCCCACACACGACCTCGCGCAACAACAGGATGCGGCGGGCAAAAACAGTGCGGGGGGGACTTTGAAGACGGATTAAGTTGGCTTTTGTAAATACTGGGTCAGAGCTGAAAAATATGCCTCGTAAGCCTGCTCAGATTGTTTTCGCTTCGCCTCCATGGGAATTGCCCCTCGTGTGCGCTGTCCTCTGCTGCCATCAAGTGCTCGAATCGAGAGGCCGTGAAAGTCTGATTTGTGATGGACGTTTTAGTGCCAGGAATCTGCAAAGCCTCCACTCAGTTGGCTGACATTGCAGTGGTCCGCATCTGATTCTCAAATATCATCACAGGCTGATGGCAAGCCTACTTGCCGTATTGCCACGTCTTGGGCACCTTGAGGCCCAACATCGCAGCCAATGGCAATGATGCCAGCATTGGTGACTTCTGTTCGATCCTTCAGCTGTTACACAATCAACACCCGACCACGAGGATCTGCTATTACAGTCTCATCCCACGTAGCCTCCGGGTGCCAAACTCCAGTGGTCTTACAGCACATCATAAAACCTGTGAGATCTGGGAACCTATACTGCTGGGTTACCCATGCGTGCCTCCGTGCCTGGCAAAAACAGCTTAGCAGGTAAACACTCCTCATTACTTACAAAGCTTGGCAACAAGCGCATGTTGACATGCTTTAATGAAATTCAATTGAATTCGATTTAATCAAATTTAATCAAATGTAATTTTATAAAAAGCAGTGTGGTTGTGCGAGCTGGCTTAGAATGGATCCTCTCCTTACTGGTATTCACATGCTTACCATCAGACTGCTTTTGAGTCAGCGCCATCAGCTTCACTCCTTTTTTTCAATACAATAAAAGTTACATCTCCAAAGATAGGCGTGTTTAAAGCACTCCGAGTGGCAAGTGTTCAAAAGTGGATTCGTATGTGCGCACGTATGTTGAACTTTTTCCCGCACCGTACGTTAGCCAACCGTGCTAATTAGATGCAGGCTCGCTCAAGCCTGTGCTTTACACATCTTTGTGGCTAACAATTAGAGATCGTTGCACGCTTCTGGAGAAACTCAACTCGAGTCAGAGAGTTCACGCCACCCGAAGAGAACCAAAGAGATGAGGCTGAGAGCCAGGCAGCACGAGGCTGGGACACGGCACAGTCCTGCATTCATTATGGGAGTGCAATCTCCGTTAACCCCCACTGAAGAGTTAAGGTGAAGTTGCAGCCCCCCCTCCACCCCCCACATGTCTTGCTCACATCACTGCTGGTGGAAGTGCCTCCTCCACTTTTGGGTCTTTTCACCTCCTCTTCCACACTCACCAGACATATGGGAAGAGGTGAGATTACCCGCCCTTTGCCCCGTTGGCAGAGGTCGCAAACGGGTTTTGATTCCTTACCCGTACCCGTACCCGGCCGCACCAGGGTCGCAAACGGGTACCCGTACCCGTACCCGGCCGTACCCGTACCCTACCCGTACCCGGCCGGTTACGGGTAGGGTACGGGTATCGGGTACCTGATTGCGACCTCTGGGATGAAGCCATGTTGCAGGCGTGGGTGGGTTGATTCTAGGAACTTGAATTGTGAGAAGAGACAAGACGTTGGGAAATGAGTGACAAACAGTTACTCACCAGTGACTCACGGCCTACCCGTGCCCGGCCGGGTATGGGTAGCCGGGTATCGGGTAGGGTACAGGTATCGGGTACCCGGTTGCGACCTCTGCCCGTTGGCGGACAGAAGCGGGGGGGGGGGGGGAGGTGTGAGGGATTAAAGAGACGGGACTGACAACCTCCGGATTGCTATCCCAGCGTGCTCCTACACCACCACCACCGCCGCCATCACCGCCACAGCAGCAGCAGCACACGGCGAGCGATCGATCCGAAAAGCGTCGCTAACCCGGCGTCTCGGCGGCATGCGTTCCGCCACCACCGCAGCTTCGCTCCGGACGCGTGGTCCCCGTGCAGCCGCTCGTGCGGTCCGGGCGTGCGGACGCGCGCCGTGCGCTGCCGCGTGCTGCTGCCGTTCTCGCGCTCCGTGGTGGAGCTGCCGGACGGCGAGTGCGAGGGCGAGCGGCCCGCGAGCGAGCGTCCCTGCGCTCTGGGGCCCTGCGTCGAGGCGGCCGACGGCCTCCTGACGGACGAGGAGGCGCAGGCGTTGGAGGAGCGGGGCCAGGGCGGCGACGAGGCGCTCGCCTTCGACTGGGAGTACGGCGGATTCTCGCACTGCTCCGTCTCCTGCGCCGGAGGTGATCCTGCGCCCACGTGATCGGTGTTGCCACTTGACGTGTGCTGCAAGGGCCATCTTTGTAACGTCATTATCATCATGATCGTCATGATGATGATTATGTTAAAATGCCTAAATTTTTATTGGTTCTTTCGGTAAAGTCACCTAGATAGAAGAAGAGTTTGTTGTTCTTCGATTGGCACGGTTGGCTACGTACGGCGCGAAATAAGTTAAATGTACATATGTACAAAAGCCGAGAGTGTAATCGTCTGTGGCGAGTTACGCTCCGGATGATCGCTGCAAAGTATGATCTGTGTTTTGATTTAGTGTGCTGATCTTAAAGGTGCATTGAAAAATTATAATACTCCGATTGATGCTCCTGCTGTTGTGGAGTGACTCATGCAGCCAGCTATGGCTGTAGGGTTTTGGTAGTACATGTTGTTTGTCGTTTATTGTGAAAATTCCGTCACAGTTCCTATGATCACTGTTTCATTGCTTTATTTTGGTGATTTCAAAAGTTTAATGGCTTGGCCATGTTTGTTTGTTGTAGTACGGAGTAACACTGATGGCCTTAATCTAAGTTGTCTTGTTGTTGTTGTTTGACTTGCATCCCACTGGGATTTTTGCACACAGCGTTGGTGTGCGGTGTTTTTTCTGCAATATTTTGCTGTCTTTTCTTGGATGTTCTGTTTGCACTTAGTCACATATTCACTTTAAGATGTTTTCTTGTTCATGTTTTTGTTTTTTGTTTGTTGCGGTTGCACCCGATTCAAGAGCCGAATGGCTCACAGGGCTATACCTAATACATGAACTTGAACTTGAACGTGTCTGTTTCATTCTGCCCACTGCGCACAGGGAACCGAGAGGCGATCGTGATCTGCGTGAACAAGGAGACGGGCGAGGCAGCGGACGAGTCGCTGTGCGACGCGGACGCACGCCCGCCCCAGATTCAGCGGCCCTGCCACACGCTGCCCTGCCCTTCCCGGTAATGCGCACACTCTGAGGTGGGGGAGAGGGGGCGGTGGGCATATAGGGTAACCAGGTCTATGATAGTGGTCTCATAGCAGGCTTGGTGATGATGAGGCACTGAATATCAAAACCAGTCCAGAGTTGGCAAGTAGTGAACCAGTGCTGCTGATAAGATGCCCTCCCAGAATGCCGTCGTGGCCAATGAGTTGTGGGGGGAAATACGCAATTTTATGTGAAGAGAAAAATAATATGGGAAGGAGGCATTCGAATCAGAATATTTATTTCGACTGGAAGAATCCGATGAGCTATGAAGCTCTTTTTCACAGATGTCCATTATATTCTTGGCTCTTTCGGTAAAGTCACGTAGATAGGTTCAAAGAAAATAATAATAAAAAATAACAGAAAACTACGACGTAAGCGTTGCGATCGAAAAGCAAAGTTTGTGGGGAATAATAGCCATTTTCTATACTTTTCAGGCATAAGCAATTAAAAAATAACACTTAATACCCAGGAACAAAAATTGTGTTACATAGTGAATTAGTCGAGTGCATTTGCATTAATTCCAGGTGCTTCCACAGAGATATTGTATTAATAGTAAGTAAAACTCAGTTTTATATGAATTCAATCAAAACCCCTTGGGTGATCTGCACTACCGTATTTAGCATAGCTTAAAATATCGTTGAGAGGTAAAAGCAATCTAGTTGGAAATAAGCACAATTATTATTTAATTGGGTGGCGCTGATTTCCACGAACGTGGAATGTTTCCACGCTTCAACAAAACAAAATTAGGCCAAAGAAATGTTCAGCGCTTTTATCGCTGGGGATTGTGGGGGATTGCATTTCCTACCACGGAGCATTCTGTGCAGCTTGGAAGCCAAAGTAACCAACTACTGTTTTTCTTGGACGCGTGTTAAATAGGACGTGTTTTGGAAAGTGCTTGGTGCAATATTATCTCATTCGTAACAAGGTAAAAATCAATGTATTGCTTTAATCGTAGCATTTTAAAGCATCACTTGCTGACAACCCATGTGTTGTGGTAAATAAATTGGCTGCATTTCAAAATAATTTAGTAATTCACTGTGATTTAATTTCACTTGGCCATCACACGCTTGATTCGTTATATCCTTGCTCCAAATGAAATGTTTATAATGTAGTTTACCCGATTAAAAAATGTTCCCGTCTAAACTTGCACATTAGTATGGGAATGGCCATGTATTTCTCGAGAAAAATTCAAATACACATTAACGAAGGCAAATAAATTATGTTTACAATTCAAGCATGGTATGCTCAGCACTTTCCTTAATTATAAACAGTCTCTCATTGAAATGCACAACATAATTATATTGGTGCCAAACTACTGTGGTATTTACGTCAATAGCAGCAACCGATAAGAAATCAACACGACCTCCACACAGCTTGGCAAGAAGTGCTTGCTTGAGTTTTTTCACAAGTCAGCTGTCAGATGCAGACGTGAGATAGACCGTGAGTTGCACTCAAACTGCCAGTCATTGTATTCAGAGCAATGGCTTAACACAACTGATTTTATGGAGACTCAAGCTGCAATGGTTAATTCAATAAAACATTTGAAAATAATTTACAGCCCTTGGTCAATCCACTGCTGCTTGAAATCCTCCCCATGACGTGCGAGCCATTAAGGTCCTTTGACGAATACTTCACCACGTTGGTCAGTACGTGTTGATGAGCGCGGAGCCCAGAACCGGTTGATATATCGCTCATTCACTGATGTTAGCCGTAGCCACGAATATAAATTAGGACACTGTTTAACACATAGGCTTTCGCGATCAATATTTTCCATAATAGATGTTTTTTTTGGGTTAGTTTGCGTAAATATAAATGTGTCGTCAAACCCGCCACCACCCGACACAGCCAATTAGTAAGGTTTGTCGCGTAAATAAAATATGCCAATTAGTTACTAGCTCAGCACAGCGGTGTGTTGGGGAGTGAACCCACATTTATAATTCGAGTACCTATTTAAATATTCTGGTTCAATAAGCACCCTATTAAATTGCAAACAATGTGGGTTTACTCTCCAACACACACCGGTGTGCTGAACTGGTAACTCATTGGCACATTTTGTTTACTTGACAAACTTTACTACTTGGCTGTGTGGATGGTGGCGGGTTTAACGACACATTCACATTTACGCAATCTAACCCAAAAACGCCTCTATGATAGGTCACTGTTCAGAGCGCAGTGTACGAGCCACTGCGCCACTGCTCCCCTTGGCTCGTTGGAGCGGTACAAATCCATTCCTGTCCGTAAAAATGCTGCCTTTCTTTGCATGACTGATTGTGCTTCCAGTGCGCTACTTCACATCGTTGTTTCTCCTCTCGTAGCCATAATTGCCAGGAAACGTGGTGCCATTACCTTAATTATCCACTATATTACGTGGGAAATTAATGCTATTTTTTAAATACCCCTTTGCATTTATAACCCCAGGCTATGGTTGAAATATTCACACCGTATCAAGCTTATTTTGTTGCACGAAATTAAGTACCGGTTTCCACCTTAATTCAAACATTTTTCTTTGCTTCTCTGGTTAGAGAATGTTTGGGGCTTGTTGTATGTATGTGTGTGCTTACCCCAGAATAGAAAATTAAGCAGGATTTCAAGTGAATGTCTAGGATTAGTTTCGTAGTAATATTTCCCTTGGTATCCGTTGAGCTGGAAAAAAAATTTCTGCAAATTATTTGAGCTGCTTTTTAAATATTCTGGTTCAATAAGCACGTTATTCATCCGCTCAATTTGGCAGAAATGCTTTATTCATATTATTTTTCCCAATTTTACTCCAGTTGAGCTTAGCCAGGATGGATTGTCTTGTAAGATCACTGATCCTAGACATAGCCCCATCAGTGAGCTCCTCCAGCAGGTTCTAGATTTGAAGCTTTCGTGACTGCAAGGATTCATACTCTTAGGTTTTTTTCGGTAAAGTCACGTAGGTAAAAAAAAACATGAAAACAACTTAATTAAATCACGACGTTTCGGAGGCAACACAAGACTCCATCTTCAGGTGGGACCGTCACAGCCAAATGTACTGCTCTGTTTCATTGGTTGAGCCATGCAGGCCACGTGACAAGTGACTGCATGCTCGAGCGCCTTCTCTTCTGGCTGGATTGAGGGAACTGCAAGGGTGTGGCACTGGCTTGAGAAGAGATGAGGCTGTACAGATTTAAGTGGAGATGCCAACGACTGGTAACCAGCGACGTCAAGATCGGCCTCTGTGGACGAGGCCTCTGTGAAAGAAGCTAATGGGCATTCGGAGGGGCAGCTGCACTCCAGGAGCAGGAGCAGCAGCAGGAGTGGGGCGATGCTCACGGCACTGAGCATAGAGCCAGGGGCTAAAACATAGCAAGATAACAAAGTGTAGGTATTGCACTTGCCTTTAATGTCAGTCAGTCAACCCATAACGCCTGAGACCTGCCAACAATCCATTGACGCTTCACATCGACTCCTGGTACAAGCTCCGTGGTGGTGACATCACCACCACCTATTGGTGAATCGTGGGTAGTTGTTGCTCGGTCAATGTCGTGGTTATCGTGTTGCGACTATAATCCTAACAAGATGGGTTCAATTCACAGCCACGGACACAGTCGCTGGCAATTGGTATCTGAACCTTTTGTGGGACTCCTCTGGGTCGACTCAGACGTAAATCTGTACCCTGTGTGACGCACGTAAACATCATGACTGGGGAAACAAAGTTGGATCACAACGCACGCCAACTTCTCGTATAGCATGCTGGCCTTGGCAGGTGTTCACGAGCGAGCACCTATGCCCCGGCAGTCGATGAGCATGAAGAGGTCAGCTTTGTGTCTATTTTGTCTGAATATACCCGCACTGGACAGATGGCACTTCACTTCATAAGTATGCGTGTGCACGTATGCGTTATACATTTAACATATTGAGGTACAATTGTGGCAAATGCTCACGTGCGTCGTTGTGTTGATGAGAAGACCATATCGACGTGAATGTGGTCCATTACTCACAGGTGTTCAATCCATTACACAGCCCATCAGCGATATATGAATACGACTTGTGACTTACATTTGTGTCTTGCCAGATTGCCCTTTGACATTAGCCAACTGTGCTAATATTCATCTCTTATTATCCCTCACAGTGCTGTAATTGGATTATTCCATCATCAGTTGTTAAAGTGCATATAGTTGTATGTTGTTCAATAACACACATCTCCATTTACATTAATGTTTCGTTTTAACCATGGTTCGCATTTTTCTTGGCCAAACTACAAAAAAAAACCCCGACAGGACGTCTTATTTAAATACAATCCTATTGGGCCCTTTTATGAGTTGAATGAGTTCGTATGGCTGGAAGAAGTGCTTTAAAACTCTTGCAGAATCCTCTTGGAATTGCGAACTTTTTTTTTTAAAGCACTTGTGAGCGGAGCGCATGTTGCATTGTTGATTGGGTTAATGCAGCAGAGAACACACTCGGCTAATTGCATTCTGTCATAAAAGCACAACAAGCTGTCGTTTAAGATGGAGTGGAGTCGGGTATTTGTGCAGGTGTGCTTCATAACACTGTCTTGGCACGGCCTGCAGGAAGGGAGCCCAAAATGATGGCCTGGGACCTCCCAAACTGGGAAACGGCATTGCAGTCGCTCCAGTAGCCAGAGGCCCAATATGGAAATGTTGTGCACTTCCAAGCCATTAGTCTAATAACCGGAATGTTGTACATTTTTCATCCGAGGCTTCAAGTCACCTAGACTATGATGGGAAGGGTGAGCTTATCCAATGGTTGGCTGGACTTTCCTTGACTTCGATCATAGCAGGGCCTTGCCTAGTTAACTCTCGTTGCCTATAATGGAAGTATTCTGTTTTTCCAATTACCACGGTGACTTTTCTTGGCCCTAATTGCAAGGCCCTGCGTTTCCTGCGAGGGCACGACCAACTGGTAGTGGCTGCCGTCGAGCGGGCTCAGGATTTGCTCACGTTTCACTTTAATCTGCTGGTGGGCCATACCCTCTTGGCTACAGGTCGCTTGGGGTCATATAGTAATGGAAATAGTGCAGTGTGACCCCACACTCAGACGCTGCTCAAAAGTTGCCCTGTCCATCAGTCACTTGGGAAATGGGACACTCTCTGAGCCCCTCGTCTGTGGTTTTTCTGCCTTTTTTATGCAGCCAGAGGTCAAACCTGGGAACATGAACCCTGTGTGGGTCGGAACTAGGAAGGAAAGTGTCAGAAAATAAGTGTTGCGCTGTTCGTGAGTGCCCTGTCCATCCGTTCACTTGGGGAATGGAGCACTATCTGAGACACTCATCCGTCGTGTTTCTGCCTTATTGTGTAGTCAGAGGTCAATCTGGGAACAAAAACCCCCAATTGGTAGAAACAAGGAAGGAAAGTGTCAGCATAGGCTGAGCATTTATGAATGATCCACTCCTTAGGAAATTGTACAAATTTCTTGTCTGTATTCATATATGTAATCACGTAAGTATTTGTACCATTATTCTTTCCAATAATCTGTCTAAAATCTACCTTCCACATTTTACGATTTAAAAAAGAAAATCATAGTTGATGCACATTTGGCCCAGGTTAGACTTCCTTACAAAAATACTTGGCGGAGACATTTTAACATTTAATATTCTGCAGCGGCGTGGAACCAAATTCTTACATGTATAAAGCCAAATCACCAACAACTATTGTATTACCACTCACAACACATTTTCATAACGAAATATAAACATTGCTTGTTGACAACACCTCATACACGCACACACACAGGTTCTGATTCAGCTGTTATTGATAGGTTCTTAAATACTGTACAGATTTGTTTCCTTGTTTGATCCAAGAATCGATGCTGCGTTTCATGTATTATAGAAGACATAAGTTGTATTGAATATTATTTTAATAATAGCCCTGTATTAGCTTCACCGGATTTTTCTACTCTTTCAAGAGGGTCTTGTCCCAGGATATTGAGCCAATTACTTTAGTACTGTTATTTTCTTGGGGAATTTGTTTTTATGTATTTTGAACTTATTTTGCAACCGACTAAACAAATACACCAGTTCTCAAGAAATGAGTGTTCAGTCTAGATGTCAAGTGCCTAGCTCCAGTGGCTTCCTAACGTCGGACGGAAGAGCGTTCCAGACGGCCACAGAAGCGAATCTAAAAGCGCGCGATGCGGTGACCGTCTTTGTTCGAATCTGGAGCTTCAAGAGAAAACCTGCACGGACAAGAAACCAAATAAAATCCACTCAAACAGGTCATGAACCCAGAGGCCCTTCTACCATCTAGTGGCCACCGTACAGCACTGATAGTTTGGCAACTCGTGCATGGCTATCTCTGCCTTCGTGATCATCCAGGCCTGGCTGCGAAGAACTAGCACTATGTTACTAAGCGGGGGCCGCCACCGCACCGGAGTTAAACCCCAGGTTCTTGCTTACAGTTAGGTACAGTGTTGCACTGCCGTATCGGGCCAGCAATATTAAGGAATGGAGGTGGGGGGGGATTGGCTCGTGCTGTCTGCGCACGTCGCAACTTGAAGCGTGCTTGACTACACACTCTTGGCCTTTCCAACAGTAATTGTGCGCTCCTGTCGCGTTGGCAAGTAGCTCGGACGCGCTGTCACGGTAGCGAGGATTGCTCGCTGACAAAGTGCAGTGCGTCCATCTGCCGAATGCTTTTTTCTTGTCGCAGTCAACCGTGTCATCGGTCTCCACGCAGCCTTCCTGGACTCACACCAATCAGCATTAACACTGACAATGGGAAGGAATTAGTACAACTGACTTTTTCTACCCTCCTCAAAAGTATCCGCTTTCTCACACGTGTTTTCTTTTGCAAACATAAGACAGCGCCATTTGTCAGTGGCTACACTTTACCTCTAAACGCTGCTGATCATTTCCAGCTTGTTTTGGTTGGCCCCTTGCTGAAGTGATGTCTCCTGCAGGGCCATTAAACTGTGATGGGGCAGACCGACAAATAACGACCATAACAACGCGCAACGGGAGCCTCCGCTTAGCACGGTTGGATACGTACGGTGCTAAAAAAGTTCAACGTTCATACGTACGTAGATTCTTGAAGTTGAAGAAATGTATTTAATCGGTAAAATGCATCCGCAGGATATATTGTGCATTAGCGGCTGCTAGTGGCATATGATATGAAATTATATTGAACATTAACATGATGTTTGTGTATTCATGTATACATGTGCATATAGATTCATTGATACAAGATATAAAGATTCGGGGTTTTTTCATTCATTACAGGATATTGATTTGGCTTAGCCATCTTTCTTTACGACGACTAACCTATTCCGCAGTATTCATTGAATAATTGTATGCTGTGTTTATTTCCCATTCATTCTTACATTCGGTGGTCAAAATACCTCTTTGCTCGCATGAGCATTGGACATCTCTATTGTTGGCCCCGCTCCAGTGGTGGAAATTCCACATTTCTATGGCGGGGCCATTGGTTCTCAACAGTGGATGATCACTCTCGATGGCCGATTAAGTAGTTCTCACCTTATCCGTGCCAGAGGGATGGTGGGAATTGTCAGTAGCATTACAAACGTTCATATATCGGTATAAACACCTGTAGATTGTGTACTGATTATGCTGCGCCTGCATCATCCCTCAACTGTGTTGCAAATTAGCAGTGATTCTCCTGGCGAAAGACTAAACTCCACCAAGAGAATGTGGAAATTCCACCGCTGGCTCAAGAGATATGAGCACACTGCCCCAATGAAGAAATGTTCACTTTTCTGTAATTGATTTCAGTGACATAGCAAGGTTGGCATTGCTCTGGCCCAAATAATTATTTGGGCCCCCCTGTCTAATTCCCTACCCCCCCCCCCATGTCCCTGCAAAGCCCAGTGCCTGGACTGCTGTGGCCTGTGGGCCCCGATGCAGTAACACCACCTACACACTCATCAGTTGCGCCACTGCTCTAGAAATGTGATGTCAGGTTGTAGCAAGTGTTGGTCATACTGTTTGATGTCCACACTGTTTCGCTCCTCGTGCTGGCAGCTTCTGCAGGAACTTCTTCAGTTCTTGTCGTGTCCTGCATAGTTCATCGATGGGTTTTTTTGGGTTGAACCACGGCGTTTTTGCCCGGCACGCTGTCTGACGTTCCACTCCACGTGCTGGCGAGGCAAACTTTGCACCGTCAAACATCGCGCCGACAGAACAACGCGGCACGACCCGAAAACCCATCGGAGAGCCGCGAGCAACCGCAACGACGTGGCGCGGAAACTTTTCAACCTTGCCGCGCCAACGCTTCGCGCGTGTTTTCTCGAGTTCGCTCCGTGACCTAACCCACGCCCCCCCCCCCCCCCCCCCCTTGGCACATCTCCCCTTGGCCGCAGGTGGGAGACGAGCGAGTGGGGCGCGTGCTCGGCGAGCTGCGGCGCCGGGCTGCGCGCGCGGAGCGTGGGCTGCGCTCGCACCGTGTCTCGCGAGGCCGACGGCTCGGAGGAGCGCCAGCGAGCCGCCGACTGCACCGGGCCGCGACCGCCGGACGTGGAGCCGTGTACACGCAGCGACTGCCCGCCGGCGTGGCACGCTCGCGACTGGCAGCCCGTGAGTGACGCGGCGACGCGGTTTGCGCCGTGCCCGCTTGTCCGCGCGACCGGCGGTTCTGTATTGTTTGGAGCTAGCGCCCCTGGAGAAAGTCTGTGAGTGTTCCCGGGACATTACAAGTTGCAGTTTTCGTTCGTTGTTAGAATCTTAATGGCGATGCATTTGTATGTACTTCTACCCCTTTCCCACTCTACGTCCCGCTTGTAAGGGACGCGTTGGGACTGTGATTGCTTAACGTCAAAAAGGTGAAAGTGTCTCGGTGTTCACATGATGTGGTGGTCATCTCCATTGTTTACCTTGAGCCACAGGTAAAAGTTCCACCATTCCTGTCGATGATGCCAGTGTCTCCAGAGGACACCCGCTGCTAAAGTCCTACAAAGTAGTACATATTGTACTTCTATAATGGACTGAGTCTAAATCCTGACCAGCATGCGGCCACATCGCCACCCAGCTAGATATACCAAGTAACCAGGGCCCCCTGTTTCCTTAATTTAGCCCTGCTGCGTATCTATTACACTCCACAAATGTAAGGGGTTTGGTATAAACACAACAAGGTGGCTTTGTTGTGTTTTTTCTTACACACTCTTTTTTCTTCTTCTCTAAGTTATCCCCAAAGGTGTTCTGTAACCTGCGGCTATGAAAGAATGTGTTGTACTTCGTTGCTCTTAGGAAATTGGCTTGAAATCTTGTTTTTGTGAAACTGGCCCCAGTGTTTGTTTTTGTTTGTTTCATGGTGCTTTATTACTTATTTTTTTGCACGTGAATTTCGTTCACAATTTCAAAATGCTCGCGTTTGTTGAGTGCATTAATATCCTTTTGGTAAAGTCACGTAGATAGAAAAAAAATGGATCACGACGTTTCGATCGCAACACAAGCAATCGTCATCAGGTGAGACAAACACAGCAGGAGAACTGCTGAACCCCAGCAGTTCTCCTGCTGTGTTTGTGATCGAAACGTCGGGATCTATTTTTTTTCTATCTACGTGACTTTACCGAAAGAACCAAAAAGTATGGATTCCTGCAGTCACGAAAACTTCAAATCTAGAATGGCATTAATCTCGTTGCTAATGTGCCGATTCGCACATTGGATAGCGAATTAGCTACCGCGCAGAAAGAGTTTGACCATTTCGAAGCGGGATTGATTTGCAACAATTTGTTTGATGTGTCAAGCGTATTAATTAACGTGTTCATTTCTGTTATATTTAATTGCTACATCTTGAAATCAGAATTAGGCTGTGTGAGCAGCTAGTCATTAGAAAGGTCACATACACTAACGTCAATTGCATGACATGGCAATTAAATAAGTGCAATACACATCGGTTCGCAACCTGTGCTGCAATCCCCAAGGAAACTCGGTTCAATGCTCAGCCACGGATAACACCGGTGGGCAGCTTGCATCGGAACCTGTCCTGACTATCCCCTAGGTCACGTCAGCCCTAAACGAGTGACGTGACAAAGTATCTCAGCCTAGGCAGTGGAGAGGCAAAGGCTGGCCACGTGAGCCCCCTCGCGCCAGACCCCCACGTGTTGCTCGCTAACTGAACTTGCCGTTGCAATCGGCAAGGCTGTCAACGAGAGATAATTCATCTTTGTCATTTTGCGAGCGGGAGCAAATCCGTTTTTGCTTTTTTGTACCCCCCCACCCCGCCCCCCCGAGCAAAGTAGCGAGTGAATACTTCGGCGGACATTGACACAAATTCGCGTGGGGCTCCCCTCTAATGCAAAGCCTTTCCCTAAGCGAGCGCGAGCGAGAGGCGTGGCGCGTGCCCTTTATTGCGCGTGGTCATTCCGCTTGAGAGAGTAAACCGCGCGGGCCCTGGGGATGTGCGTAGGGGGGGGGGGGGGCCCGGGCCGTGAAGCTAGACGGGCCCAGGTGTTTCCTGCCCCTTGGGGCCGGGGGTTAATGCCCCTTCAGTCGACACTCTGAAGCTGCCAGTCATGATGCACGAGTCTGCGCCAGATGTTACGTTTCATGGGAACTGGTATCTGTTCCGATCGGCGCGCGCGCGCACGGCTCGACGGCTCGCTGTGGGAGGGCACGTTGAACGGAGGGAGTTGGAAAATGAAACTTGTATTTGTGGTTGCGCGCAGATTATGACAGCCATTAATATGGCGATAGCGGATGTGTTTTATAAAGTGTGTCCATCCGTTGTATGATATTCTGTGTCGTGCTGTGCGTGGCACGGTAGTGCACGGCTGCAATGCAGTACTTTGGAGATGGCACAAGACACCCAACTTGCAGGGCTAAGAAGTGGCAATTATGGGGAAGTGCAGCAAGTGATGATATTCCAGCACCATTGTGCTTGCAACATACTGGATACTCCAATTGGTGATTTTCTTCTGTACAATCAAAACACTAAAAACAACTCCTTGGCAAGATGTTCTTTAAAAAAAAAACTTGTACTTAATTCAGGTTTATATAAGTAATGGAACATCGTTATTTATTTATAGTTTTCACGATCCACTGCTTGATAAAAGTCCTATACTATGATGAACTCGAGGCTGCCCCCCCCCCCCCCCACTCTATGGGAACCAGTAGATATATCCCGCTGACTCAGGGCAGCTAATGGTGATACGCGGCATGGCCAGGTTAACGCAGGATCTTTAGAGGTCACAGCCGGGGCCTAGAATGTCGAAGGGCCCCAAACACACATATCTGCTTGCTGTACTGTAGCCCTATGAACATCCTGTTCGTAATTTGGTCATTGAAGGAATAGCATCGTGATGCGTATCACTACCAGTTATGTGCCGGAATTAAAATAGTTTTTTTCAATTTAACTGTCGTCGAACATTTACAATCTGTGTATCACGTTTAAAACTGGAACTGAAATGACCATGGTGCATCATAAGGCAGTGTTTGGCATCGGGCATGTGTCGGGGTAAGAGAGTAAAGGGAAGGAATTGAATAGGCAAATAGGGACCCCCAGACCTAAAACCGCTCTGAGCCCCCCCATCAAACTTAATCCAGCCTTGTTGCACGAATCACCAAGACACACTGAATGCTGTTATTTTCTTAATGCAGTGAATTAACAAACAAACAAAAACATTTCCAATTATAATCCTCGACGATCGCTGAAAGCACTCGGATGCCGGCTTCTGTTTGATGCACGTGACAGCACCACGTATTTCACACACACACACACAGAGACATCATCATAATTAGTGCCAGATGCCGTCTGTGTCAGGGTCAAACTCCCGACACCCAAGTGGCGGCAGTTACTGTCAGCGGTGGGGTGGGGAAGCCTCCGCACCTTTCCCACCGATGAAAAGTCCCCAGGAGCCCCGGTGTGTGTCCACGGTGCGCACGCAGCCCTGCGCTTTCGTTCAACGCCGGCCGCGCTCGCAACCGCCTCGGTATGCGGCTGCACCGCCGCGTTGCCACGGCCGCGTGCTCACCACGGCGGCGCGCGCCCTGCCCCATGTTTCTAGGGGAACCGACAACGTTTGGCGAGCAAAGCTTCTTCCTCTTGGCGCGTTTGCGTTGGGTGCCAGGCCCTGTTTTGAATGTGTCATCATTAACGTCTCAGCGGCGCCGCGGTGGCGGGATGTTAACTCCCTCGCCGGGTATGCAGGAGGTTGCGGTTTGATTCCGACCCTGACGCCTGTTGTATGTTTGGTGTTTGCGTGTCTCTTTCCCCTGTGTTCGCGTGGATTTTTCTCCGGGTCCTCCGGGTTTAGAATCAACATCATGCGTTTAGAGTATTTGACTGGTGTAAATTTGCACATGATAAGCCACTTCGTTTCACTATCATTTGTGGCCAGGTCGCTTCTGAAAAAAGCTATGTAGCTCAGTGGGCCTTGCCTGGTAAAATGAAAAAAATCTCAATAGTTTATCCTCGTTTTCTGCGGTCATTAGTCGAGCACTGGTTAGCGCGTCGCGCTATGAAACCAGCAACCTAGGTTTGATTCCCGGCCAAGGAAAGTAGGCCAGACTCCAGCTTCATTGCTGTTCCTCTGATGCTGGTGGAATTTTCAGGCACAGGCCACCCTGCTCGGTCAGAAGCGGTGCCTAAGTCATCAGCTGTGCATGGCTCCTCTAGCAGACGATACTTGATCAGATGAGTGAAGCGTCGTCTGGTCTCCAGCACAGACGCAGTTCCTGAAGACACACCATAACAGAGATCGGCCGTATGATAAGCAGATAAAATTCGCAGTGATGAAGCATTTTAACAATATGGCCACACTGCAGAGGGCTGACCTCTGCCGATGTGGCCCGAGTCAAGTTTATTTTGTTTAACCGGGTGAAAGTTCACAAGGCCAGGATAGTCTCATCCCCAAGAGGGCCCCTGGGGCATCAGTCTGTAAGTTGTGGGTGCTGATTGCAATGCGTAATCCCAATTGAGCAATTTGCGGAGTGATGTTTTAAGTTTGGAAAATGTGGACCCTGACACCGGCACACAGCGGCCTCCTCTTGCGAATGACGTCAGGGCATCTTGAACGTCTGCTGTGAAGCAGATGGCCCCGCCTCGGCATTATTACGCTTTTGAAGTTTGTGTTAACTGCGCCATACTTGTGGCAAAAAATGCAAACATAGAGGGTAAAACTGATTTCTTTTTTTCCCATAATTTTTGATCCTGGCAAAAAGGTCCCATGGACGTGACGGTTACGACGACCGCAGTGAGAAGCAATGGGCGGCTGTTGTTCTTTCGGTGGTGGAAATTGTTTTCACTTCAGTGTTGCCGTCAGTGCACAGAGAAAAAAAATTAACCCGTAAAAACAAAGTTTTTCACTATAAATCCTTTATATGCGTGGCGGCTAGAGTCCTCTCGTCCTCTGGCTTGAGATGGCTGCCACCTATGGGTCAGATGATTGCCTGCCACCATTAAGCAATTGGTAATTAAATATAATTAATTTTTTCCTAAAAGTGTAACATTTTGGAGAAAACAAATTTCACGAAAATAAATTGTCACGCACAACGAGTCTGTGTGCAAAATGTTAGCTCGATTGGATCACGGGAAGTGGGTTAAAAAACGCCGAAAAGATTTGCACGGTCGTAAGCGCGCAAGCAAGCAAGCAAGTGAACTTAATATAAAGGATTTTTAAAAAAATGTGGCCGCATATGAGACATTGAGTCCAGACCCGGGTGTTAAAATTCACCTTTTTTTCGTCTTTATTCCAGCAGGTTTGTGGATTCGTTTTAGGGAAAAAAAAATTAATCGAAAACCAAGATCGTTTTAATATGTGCAAGGGTTTACACGTGGTCAAATATGTTTCGAAAGATTTCCTTGATCGCCAAGGAAGCTGTAAAGGCAGGAAAATAAATAACATGCTCATATGTGTATATTATCGAATTTTAGACGACCATGCAATAGTCTGTAGGTAATGTCATTATTACTTTTCGTAGACTTATTAATCATTTTATTCATAAACCCTAATTTTAACATGATGTGTGCGTGAATTTCTTTGTGGGGAGCGGTAGTCTAGCAGGGTTTGTCCGCTGCACTATGAACCCAGCGACACGAGTTCGATTCCTGCTCAACGTCCAACGCAAGTGATGATTATTTCTCACCAATCTAGGGCCTCTCCTAGGTCGACTCAGCCTCAAATTAGTACCTGGTGCGGTGTGTAAACATGGGAGACAAAAGCGGCCGGGCGTGGTGCTGGCCACCCACCCGCTCAGAATCAGAATATTTATCCTGGAGAAATCCGATGAGCTATGAAGTTCTTTTTCACAAATTTTCAATCAGGGTGGGTCAGAAAGTTACAACAGCAAACAATAAAAAAAACTATTAGAGTGCAAAGTATAGGAAAGGTATATAAATGACTCAAAATAAATACGTTAAATAGACAAAGGTAATTTTCGATTTAAAGCTTTCGTGACTGCAGGGATTCATCTTCGTGGTTCTTTTGGTAAAGTCACGTAGAATGGAAATAATAAAATAATAAAAATAAAACATAATAATTATTATGTTTTATTAAAACTTAATAATTAATATATATTATTTTTATTATTTTATTATTTCCATTCTACATGACTTTACCGATTGAAACAAGAAGATAGACAAAGGTATATAAGTTAAAATTCCATACGTTCAAATTGCTGTCGTCTCGTGCGCCAATAGCGCATTTCCCCCCAACTGTCTGTTCAAGGCGCGCACGGCGGATGTTTGTGTTTGTCTTTTGTGTGCCGTGCTGGCGCTGGCGCTGGCGCGTGCCCCAGTGCTCGCGCACGTGCGGCAGCAGCGGCGTGCAGTCCCGGAGCCTGCGCTGCCGCCGGCTGCTGGCCGACGGCAGCTCGAGGGACGTTGACGAGCAGCTGTGCCCCGACAGCAGGCCGCTCGCTCAGCAGGCGTGCGGCGGCCAGAGCGAGTGCCCCGCCGAATGGGTGGCCTCCGAGTGGGGCCAGGTACGCGAGCACACGCGCGCACTCGAGCACACACTCGAGCACACACTCGAGCACACGTGTGCGAACGCGCACTCGAGCACACACTCGAGCACACACGCAAGCACACGTGTACGAACGTGCACACACTCGAGCACATGCGCGCGACCCGCACTGCTCGCCGTCGCCGCCGTCATCACAGCGCGCATTTGGCCAGAGTTTGAAAAACTATCGGCATATCTGGGATAGCGTTGCCGTAGTTCCTTACCTCCCTGCAGCACTTGATGGAATTCGGCGTAAAGCAGTTGGGGCGACTGGCGACCTGTCGCTCACCGGTTCAGAATCATCATCAGGATATATAGTTACACGAGAGGAATCCGATGAGCTATGAAGCTTTTTTTCACAGATGTCCTGTAAAGGGTGGGTCAGAACGGTACAACAACAAATAATACAAAAAACACAAAGAGGAGTGAAAATTATAAGAAAGGTAAACAAACCGCCCCGTCACTCACTCACGTTCAGTCACCCCCTCACACCTGTAACCCAGGTCACCGTTCCCGTGAACTCCACTCGATGATTTTGTTTTGGCCATGCTGAGGTTTAGGTCTACTGCCACGCTCATCGATACCGAGTGAAGCCGCCCACCACCACACCGTGGGTGGGCGCACCAAAGCCTCTCTGCTACTCCCCTTGCACCGTCCCTTTTGTAACGAATCCCTCCCAATCTTCTCTTTCCCGTGTTATTTATTTAACCATTGCTCGATTCAAGACACGTGTTCGTTCTCATCCATTACACGTTCAACAACCACCGTCACTTTCTGCTTCGGCCTTCGGGCAACTTTTTTGCAACGTTCACTTTTAAAATAAATACACTTTAGGGAAACTGTGTTGGAACTTAGCCTTAAAGCGTGTACCTGATGTGGTGTGTTAACATCCTCGCTGGGTTGGGGGAGACAAAGGTGAGCAGGCCGGGGTGTTCTGGCCACACCGCCCCTCGTTCATCAGGTCAGGCCGGCCTCTTCGTATGTGGGTGCTCGAACAGCATTTGCCCCCCCTCCCCACGATCATTCTGTTCAATGCTCTATGGGGGGGTGGAATCTCTGTCTTTGTGTGTATGTGTCTTATCTTGCAGTGTTTGGGAAGCTGTGGCACTGGCACACAGCACAGGGATGTGAGCTGCCAGTTCTCCACAGCAGCGGAGGTCACGTCCGTGGCCAACGCCTCTCAGTGCTCGTCACTTCCTAAGCCACTCGCCAGCCGTGCGTGTACCCTGCCACCCTGCAACAGTGCGTACTTCGCTCGGGACATCCATCAACGCTCGGGACATCCAGTTCTTTTTGCAATGTATACAAAAAGAGACCTTCCCTCGCCTTTCGTACAAGTCTCTGCCGTTGTTATCACAAAGCACGGGTCCGTTGGTATCATTTGATACAAACAACTTCGACTGTTCAACAATACAGGAGGCTGTCGGTATCTTAAAGTGCGACTTGCAATATATTAAAATGTAAAGGACTGCTGGTATCTTGCGGGTGACTTTAAAACTATATTACAAGGCAATGTATTTCTAAGCGACCGTGGAGATTCTTTGTTGCTTCTACTCCTGTAACACAGATGGTGTCTGTGACAGTTCATATCTTGGCATGGCTCACTGATGAGCCCTTATGAGAACGAAATGCGTTTGCGTCATCCATGCTGTGAGTCTCCACTATGACAACCCTGAGGGCCTGTTGGCCAACAGATTAATCATAGTTTGTAAAGTAGATCAGACGTATACATTCTTGTTTTCCTTGATGGAAATTTGAAATTCCTTTGGGAAAGGCCAGTCTCCGTATCGGACAACCACTACTCCATGTATCGCAAAGTGTTCCTTGCTTGATCAACCCTGCAAAGACGACGGACTGAATCGATGCAAACTGACATTTGGAGACCTTGCGTATTCCGACTTTGGTTCGGGCAGTTTAACCACGCCATCACAATGCCGCCATGTGTCACGTCCCTCCCGCAGAGATGAACCTGAAGGACGGCAAGACCAAACCCATTTGGAAAGGTGGATCGTCCGCAAACGGGGGGCCGCAGATCCTGGGGGTGCGTCGGATCTACATCCCGTCGCCCTGGGAGAACCTGTTGGCGTTTCCCGTGGGGGGCACGGCGTACCTCTTCCCCAAGAGCATGGTGGTGCTCAAGTGCCCCGTGGCGCGGTTCCAACACTCGCGCGTCCGCTGGGAGAAGGACGGCCGCTCCCTCGCCGAGTCCGACCGCCACAGCGTCACGCGCTGGGGCTGCCTCAAGATCCGCTGCCTGCAGCCCGACGACATCGGCGTGTACACGTGCGTGGCCGGGCAGGCGCGCGAGAGCTTCACCATCAAGCTCATCGGCGAGAACAGCCGCGTCCTGGAGGCGCCCGGGCACAAGGAGCGCAACGGCGACGGGAAGGCAAAGCTCAACGAGGCCACGGGACCCGAGGGCGGCGCGCTCGGCAAGCAGCCGCAGAAAGGAGGGGACAAGCGCGACGTGGAGAAGAGCCGGCAGCACATCGTGTCCCTGCTGCTGGAGAGCAAGCTCCTGACGCGCGAGAGGATGGAGAGCCGTGACTCGCGCGAATCCCTCGAGAGGGACTCGAACCTCTCCTCCTCCGAGGAGGAGGAGCTCCACCTGGGCAGGGAACCCTCCGTGCCCTGGGCCTACGTGACCGACCAGGAGAAGCTGCAGCAGATCATGCGCAACCTGACGCAGCACTTCGAGCTGCCGGAGCTGAGCGACGTGCACGCCGCGCAGATCATCGCCCAGTTGGCCGCCGAGCCGCGGGCGAAGCAGAAGCAGTGGGCGGACGCGGACGAGAACGAGTCGAGCATGCGCTCCGAGGACAAGAGCCTCGACTCGGAGCCGCAGGAGGGGCTGAAGGAGAACGCGCACGCACGGAAGGCCAAGCCGACGGGCCACGGGGCCAGGCCTCCCTCGTCGTGGCCGTCGCTGAGGCCGGCGCCGGCGGGGTCGAGGCAGCAGCCCGGCCGCCGCCCACCCGGCGCCCACGAGGGCAAGCGCGGCGGGTCGGCGCGCGTCATCCGGCGGCAGGTGCGCTCGGCGCTCACGGAGCTGAGCAAGGACGTGACGGTGCACGTGGGCGGCCTTGCCGTGGTGGGGCTCGGCACGCGCAGCCTCGCGCTGCTGTGCCCCGTGGAGGGGCCTCTCGTGAAGACGCATGTCGCGTGGAGCAGGGACGGGAGCCCCGTGGCCACCAGCAGGAGGTACGCGAGCTCCCCGGCGTTTCCTCCGTCCGTGCGCTGCTTCTCGAGGCTCGTAATCATCTTTCAGCAGGATGGCAGCTGTGTTATGTTGTTAAGACGTCATTAAGAATGTGTTCCAGAATTTTTTTTTTTACATCACTTCGCAGCTCTCACATGATGTTTCGTGTTAAGATATTTATCTGGTTAAGGATTATACAAATACAAAGAATGTCACAGGATTGGATTGTGTACCTTGTCCAGATGATGTAAACATTTGGATTGATTCACATATTCAATGGATAAATAATCTAACCAGGTGCCACTGTGTATTAAAACACAATTTTTTTACATTTCTATATTTTTTCATGATTATAAAACAGTTCTTTCCCACCATCCCTCGATTGCCAAGCCCACCTTAATCAGTCTAAACTGAGTTATTAAAATTAATCATCATTATCATTTACGCTCCTTTGCCTATTCACTGCTGGGTAAAGGCCTGCTCACTCTGTAAGAGTCATAGGGGTTGTCTTTACCATACTTCACCACGCTGGTCAGTGCACATTCCTGACGGCGGGGCCCAGGACTGGCTCAGACATCACTTGCCACCGACGGCTGAGACTTGAACTCAGGTCGCCGGCTCCATCACGCGGTGAAATTAAACCACTATGCCTCCGCTCCTCCTGGGGGTGGTCTCCAAGACTGAAGGAGGTTTGCCATCTCCGCCGTGGTAATTGACGACGCCTTCTGTCATCCACTGAGCAATTGCGGCTCAAGCCGGCGGCATCGGAGGAACGGCAATGCTGCTAGGGTCTGGCCCACTCTCTCCGTCCGCGCGCGCGTGTGTGCGCGCGCGTGCGTGCGCGCGTGTGTGCGTGTGCGCGTGTGTGTGCGTGTGTGCGCGCACATGCGCATGTGTACGTGCGTGTGCGCGTGTGTGCGTGCATGTGTGTGCGTGTGTGTGCGTGCGTGTGCGCGCGTGTGTGTGCGTGTGCGCGTGTGTGTGTGACTTGGCCAGGGCGATTGCTTTGATAGCTGCTCGGCGGATCGGCACGGAGCCGATTCCGAGCCTCGGCAAAGACTCGTGCGAGTCATGTGGCTCGCACGCTCGTGCCCGGCGCAGGAACAATGCTCGCTCTATGTCGACGAAGGGGCTGTTTGACGGCATAAGCTGCTATCTGATCCAAAAGGAAGAAAAAAAAATATTAAAAACACCCAACCTTCTTTTAAAAGTGCTATTCATTCTGCGGTGTATATTTTTAATACCAGCTTGCTATATTTAAATGCCACGCGCTGCCTTCACCGAGTGAATTAATTTACTCTACCTAGTCCTGCTCTGTATTGCGAGAGGTGGTTCGTTTTCTGTTAGGAGTGTGCGCATGGCATTTAAGTGAACCTGTGTCCGGCCACCAACGTTTTAACAATGTAAACGTGTCCACATTCATCGAGGAGATAAACATGCGTTTGCGTGTGTCTGATTGTAACTTACTCTAATCGGCCTCATGGTATCAATTGTATTAAGTACTTTTCATGTAATGTTTAACTCTCACAGGACGTTCTTTTTTTTATCAACATTTATATTTCGATTTAAAGCTTTCGTGACTGCAGGGATTCATCTTCTAAGTTCTTTCGGTAAAGTCACGTAGAAGGAAAATAATGAAATAATAAAAATAAAACATGATAAAATAATTCTCACGACGTTTCGGCCACAACGCAAGCAGGTAGAGAACAGGTCTGTCGAGAAGGCAGAGTCTGCCTTCTCGACAGACCTGTTCTCCACCTGAAGACGGCTGCTTGCGTTGTGGCCGAAAACGTCGTGAGAATTATTTTATTATGTTTTATTTTTTCTTATTTTATTATTTTCCTTCTACGTGACTTTACCGAAAGAACCAAGAAGATGAACATTTATATTCATCGCTGCGCCATGCGGTGGCGAGTCAGTCCGACGTGCAGGCCACATCGCAACCAATGAGCCTCATTATCGCCGACAAACTGGAGCATACCAGTTTCCCGAAAACACTTGGGTTCTAAAACTCTACTAGTGAGCCTTTCTCCTTTCTTGGCGTTGAAACGAAATTTCGGCTGCTGCATGCGGTGAGCGCTGAGTGCGGGCCGCGTGCAGGCGCCGGCCAGGATGGTCGTCGCATTGCAGAGATGGTGACTGCTTTGGGTGGTGGGGGGTGGGAGTCTCATGCGGCAGTGAGACAGATCGTTCATAATCAACGTTTTTGGGTTGAGATCGCGTTATTTATAAATGTGTCGTAACCCTCCACCACCCGACACGGCCAATCAGTAAACAAGTGTCACGTTGACAAAAGCCACAACAAATGTTGTGGCTTCAACACACCGGTGGGCTAAAGCAGTGAACTATTTGTCAAATAGTTCACTGCTTTAGCCCACCGGTGTGTTGAATGTTGTGGCTTCAACACACCGGTGGGCTAAAGCAGTGAACTATTTGTCTTTTGTCAACGTGACACTTTTTTACTGATTGGCCGTGTCGGGTGGTGGAGGGTTACGACACATTTATAAATAACGCGATCTCAACCCAAAAACGTTGATTATGAATAACATTGGTCGCGAAAGCCTACGTGTTAAAGAGACAGATCGTGGCTGATGAGGACCATATCCGATAGGTGTTACGAGTCGTTCTTGCCCCATTTTGGACAAATTAGACGTGCCGTTGCCTCACTTGCTACGCTCAATGGCACAGGCCATCGCTAAACTAAACTATTTATATTTTATGAAGTCAGGCCCACTGGGCTATATAGCTCTGACTGTCACAATTGATAGCTCAACGAAGTGGCTCATCACGTGATCATTTATAGCAGCCAAATACTCTAAACGCACGTTGATATGCAAACTCCAAATATATGGGCGTCAGGATCAGGATCGAGCCCACAACCTACTGTATACCAGGCGAGGTAATTAACATCTCGCCGCCGTGACGCCCTCATCTGCACGAGGGTAACGGTGACAGGCACAAAATTGTGGGCATCGCCGTTGCCAAATCTGCCCATGTGTTTGTTTTGACTTCGTTCTGTTATTTAGTTCTTTGTTACTTGCTTTGTCTGAGCGTGCTGTTTGTTTATGCTTGTATGCTTGTCGTGTAAAGCATCTTGGGAAGTGTGTTGCACTCGGACGTGATATGAATTCGCAATGGTGTTATGATTATTCAACAATAATCCAAGGTGGCTGCATGCTGAAGCTCACATTGAGCCAGTAAATCGTTTCGGTTGGCAGCCCTGAGCCAGTGCAGGAATTCTGTAAACGTCACATTCCTATGGTTAGGACGAGTGGAGAATGTCCATTGGATTTCCACTGTTGACTTCTCCGAAATTGTTACCCATCTTATCAGTCCTGGACGGATGATCAGTGATGAGTCAACGTCCGAATTTCAAAAATAAGGCGAGCACTCCGCTGTAGCATCAGCTGGCTGGACGCACACCTTGTCCGCGTCCGGTATACTGCATGAACATAGCAGATATTCAGTGAAATGTATTGTTGTACCGTACTTATATGCTCCCGTGTCTATGCCTCCTTGCCTTCACCAACCCACACTGACCCGCGTGGTGAAGTTTGGCCAAATAACCACCACGGCCTGTGCAGCACGGGGAGGCCCTCATCCGGCAGTTGGGTTGACATTAAATATACTTCCCGTATTAGACACTGCGCATATGGTGTACTATTAAATGTGCCCCAACACTCATGTGCATTCAATAAACCCGCGTCTAATTGGTGTGCAATTCTTACGCGTTGCATAAAACGTTTGATTTTTTATTTCTCTCCTTTGACAGCAGATTGGCCGGCACCGCCGCCACCTCTCACTCCTGTGTCGTTCTTTGAGAGCAAATTTTTGTTCTCCCGAGGCTTTCGGTCCTGGCGAGCGGCGCCGATGCATATCTCTCGTGACGTGCGCCCTCCATCTCGTAGAGTGCTCCTGCTGCCAGACAAGTCTCTGAAGATCCTGAACCCGGGCGTGAACGACGCCGGGCTCTACACCTGCAGCGCGACTGGCGAGGCTGGCACAGACCACGAGTCCACGCTCATCACATTTGCAGGTGGGGGGTTTGCTGGCTCGCATATAGCGGCATTTTTTTTTGACGCGGTCGTTCATTTTTTTTTCGGTTGCTTGTTTTTACCAATTTTGCAACCGATCGTGGTGACGGCATCATGCCACGATGCCAAGTATCCATCGTGGTCTCTCGCAACATCGACCGAGGGAAGCAGATGTCACAGAGCTAGATTTAAGCTCACTTACGGTGACGCCTGGAAATTTGGAGTTTGCACGTTCTCCCGGTGGTCACGTGGATTTTTCTCTGGGTCCTCCGGTTTTTCCCTCCACATTTGGAATCAACGTGCGTTTCGAGTATTTGGCTGCTGTCAAAAACAATCCACATGGTAACCTACTTCGTTGAGCTATCATTTGTGGCTAGGTTGCGTCTGAAAAAGAGCTGCATAGCTCAGTGAGTGCAGGCTCGCGAAGGGTTGCCCTGGACCAGTTCAGATAACACTCACCACTGATATAGGCCATTGCTGGGAATCCAACTCAGCTTCCCAGGTTCATAGTGCAGTGTACTAACCACTGCGCCACCGGTCCACCTCGTACGTGGATGCTCCTGCAGGCGAGTGTTTCCCGTAGTGACGCACGGCTTCCAAGAGTCAAACTTGCAGACATGCACTGACGCTCTTGCCGTGGGCGTCGAAGGGCTCATGCCATGGCTTTTCAGGAGCAGGTGGTAGAGCAAGCGTGGACTGGTTTTCCATCTGTTCCCTTGTATGGGATAGCATTGCTCCCCTCGCACGCATGAGCTTACTCCAGGTGCTCCGTTTTCCTCCCGCAATGTGTACACACTCATTAAGTGACTGAAAACATCCTCATGTATACACAGTAGAACCCCTGTTCACGACCACCTCTGTTTAACGACTAATCGCTTAACGACGGGCCTCCATAGAGCTCATTGTGTAGCGTATAGTGTCGTGTATAGTAGTGTAGTGTTTAGTAGTGTAGTGTATGGTAGTGTAGTGTATAGTGTAGTGTATAGTTGTGTAGTGTATAGTGTGTATAGTAGTGTAGTGTTTAATAGTGTAGTGTATAGTGTAGTGTATAGTAGTGTAGTGTATAATAGTTTATAGTGTAGTGTATAGTAGTGTAGTGTATAGTGCCTCCATATTGATCAATATTTTCGATTACCGACCATTCCCCTGTTCACGACCGGCTGTTGTAGGTACAGTAAATATTACTTAATGCATTGATTAACCATGTTTATTTTAATATTATGTGTTTATAATAATTTTATGATCTTTATGTATTCATATCAATTGTTTAAATATTATAAAGTACTTTTTGGGTGAAAAAGGGGTAACTTTAGATGCTATAGGAAAGCCTTTAACGTGTCTTTCCCATACTCGCTTAATGACCACATCATGGAACCAATTACAACTGTTAAGAGGCGTTATAGTTTATATATATGTTATACTAGCTTGACTACCCGGCTTCACCCGGGACTTGGATTCACCACGCCCGGCCGCCTTTGTCTCCCAAGTGGCGATGTTCACACACCACACGAGTTACTCGTTTGAGGCTGAGTCGACCTAGGGGAGGCCCAGGACCGGTTAAAATAATCGTCACCGGTGGTGGCCGCGAGCAGGAATCAAACTCGTGTCACCGGGTTTGTAGCGCTACCCACTACACTACAATGCGTTACGCTTCCACGTGCGCGGGTCACGTGACAGATTTGACGTCACAGCTCACTTGCTGTGCAAAAACATATATTATTGAGCTCCCCCCCCCCCCCACCCGAAAAAGTGTATTTTTATAATTTTTGCATGGTGTACAGTCTAGAATGTACCCACATGGCAAATTTCAAATTTGTCGGGAAGTACGCTTAACATTTTGAACAGACACACATATTCACAACTTTCCCTTTTATATATATGGAGATTTAGGACCACAGCTTATGGGAGACTCTTGGTGCCGGCTCACTGCCTGACTGCCCTTCCACTTGTTTGTGGTTCCTGGCGCTTCCGAGTAATTCGCAGTCTTCGAGAGCGAGCAAAATAATGGTTACCGTTGTGAATATTACAAATTGTACTGGGGGAAATACGCTGAACAGCGGTGGAGGAGATTCGTGAATAATCTGCCGTTCATTGCTCTGTGTTCATACGGCAACCGGAGAGCCCCTCGTGTTATTGAATGTATGATCGCCCGCGTGCGTGTGTTTGTGTGTGTGTATGTTCACCCCATCGACGAGCTGTGAAACTTTACATGCGTCTGAGCTGTAATGAGAATTCAGCCTGTGTTGGACCAGATTGAGAACGCATAAATTAATGTGCACCCTGGAGTGAAATCAGTCAAAGGTTTTTTTATTTGTATAAAACCAAACGGGAGCCCATGGCGAGAAGCATACATATATATAAGTTTGTCATGTGAGAGCTCTGTGTTTAAATGGTGCATTTGGACACTCCGATGTAAAATTATGCAGTTTAATGGAGGTATTACCAATGAATAAGTGTACAGTTACTGGCAATGTAGTTGGCACAGAGTATTAAAAAAACAAAGATCCCCCATATAGCCTGAACAAACTGTTGGGACAAGTGCTGTTAGCGAGCTCCTTTGAAGACCGGCATGGCACACGAGGGGGTGGGTGGCCAACACCACGCCCGGCCGCCTTTGTCTCCCCATTGGTGATGTTTACAAACCCCACCAAGTACTTATTTGAGGCTGAGTCGACCTAGGGGAGGCCCATGACCGATTCAGATAATCGTCACTGATGTTGGCCATGAGCGGGAATCTAACCCAGGTCGCCGGGTTTGTAACGCAGCGCATTAACCGCTACACTACCGCTCCCCGCCTATTGAAAAAAACACAAATCAAAATGTGATTGTGAACAAATATTTTCTTGCATTTTCGAATGAGACCATCAACTCAATATTCTTTAGGACGCTGTTTAATGCCAGGTGACTGAAACCCGGACACCGCCCAGGAATTCACACTCAGCATTGCTGGCTCAGCTATCGGACCTCAACCACCCTGCCACCTCGATCACCCCGATTGTCAAACTCGCAGTCCTCCATTGCACGTTGCGTATTCCGTCCACAGAACAGCAATTAATCCCGAGACAATCAACCGACGCGAACACGTGACTGACTTAACTTTTGTCGTTTTTTTTGTTTACTGACCGTTGCTGCTGATGGGACCCAACAGCGATGGGAGACCTGGAGAAAGCTATTAAAGCGAACAAAGCTGTGAACAGCCGGGCGAGATGTCACATTGAAGGTAATGAATAGACTTTGAAAGGTGTGCCTTCTGGAAGCGGAAACAGCGCATGCTAGAAGAGATGAACTTTGTTCTTTTTTGGTAAATTGTGGTGAAGTAATTAATTTCAAAATATGATGTAGCAGTGCTTTCTTTTTAAAGACATCTCCTATAATAAATGCACAATCAGCATCAGCCTCTCTCCTTCCATTGCTGCTTAAATGATTATCCATGCTGATGCCTCCATGTTGATCTAAGAAGCTGTGATGTAAATGTTCCAGCTCTTTGTCTGATTTAATTATTCCTGAATGTATGGCCTTTCTGTTAAAATTCCGTTTCAGCTGGGAAATTGTACGATTGGGTGTGTTTGTTTCTTTATTCGTTAACCCCACCTATTTGTGTTTGTACCAAAATACACTGTATATGCATGGGCTGTGGCAGACATTAATTACAAACTTGTAATGATTAGGGTGTTATCTTCTCGGTTCTTTCGGTAAAGTCACGTAGAAGGGAAGTAATAAAATAATAAAAATAAAACATAATAAAATATTTTATAACAATAAAAATAAAACATAACAAAATATTTTATTATTGTATTACTTCCCTTCTACGTGACTTTACTGAAAGAACCAAAAAGATTAATCCCTGCAGTCACGAAAGCTTTAAATCGAAATTAGGGTGTTAGTTAATTCTTCACAATCAGAAGACGGGAAATTGCCGAAACCATTCGTATTGTTTTCATATTGTTATTTTGGCTATTAATAATATTTGGATTATTACAGTAATATATTTAATATGAACTACATCTTCCAGTACATTATTATTATAAGGGACCACCTACGAGCGTTGCCAATCGTCGAGTCACGATCTTTTCACAGAGCTGCCAAGCCTGCTGCCAAGAGAATGGAATTCTGGGAAGCGGCTAGCGATGGCATCGAGGCGGGGAGCGAACGTTCGCACCGCCCCTGGAGAATTCCTCGTCGTCGGTAAATGAACACCGTGCACTCTCGGATAACCGCACACACACGCACACGTGGTCCGCATTGATGGGTGTGAAGGTTTCCGGTAAAATGCGCATTTTTGTGTATAGTGTGTATGTTATGAGAAACCTCTCTATGTGTCGTATAAAAGTTAAATGGTTTCGATTTAAAGCTTTCGTGACTGCAGGGATTCATCTTTTTGGTTCTTTCAGTAAAGTCACGGAGAAGGGAAGTAATAAAATAATAAAAATAAAACATAATAAAATAATTATCACGACGTTTCGACCATAACGCAAGCAGCCGTCCTCAGGTGGAGACCAGACTCATTCAGACGCTGTCTCCCCGACAGACCTGGTCTTCACCCTGAGGACGGCTGCTTGCGTTGTGGCCGAAATGTCGTGAGAATTATTTTATTATGTTTATTTTTATTATTTTATTACTTCCCTTCTACGTGACTTTACCGAAAGAACCAAGAAGAAAAAGTTAAATGGTTAAAGGTGCAGCCCTGCAATTGCTTGCTCATGCCTCCGTTGGCGGAATGGCCTCCGCTCGAGGGTGCTCTCGCGGGCCCCTGTCGAGGCTATTTTTTAAATGATGGCTTGATAGAGGTGGTAAGACCCACACTCTAACGCACCACCTACGCCCTGCAGATCAACTAACTGTGGTGTACCCATTCATACTGATGGGGGGAGAGAGGCAGTGGAGAAAATCCTGGCTTTGGTAGAAATTCCACAGCTTGACCAGGCGCACAACAGAGTTCTAGGCAGGAGCATCAGCTGAGAAGAAGGTTCAACCTCCCATTGAGCTTGTAAACTAGGGGATCCAACAGGAGCCTTTGGCTGCTGGCTTGGCATGCATGGGAGGGTTCCTTTTCTTCTTATTTCGCGCGGCTGCTGATGTAGATGCAGAGCAACGACTACAATTGCACGTGCACGTGGTCAAGCCAGACAACCGCGTCAGGAGCAGTGGAATGTGCATCGCTTTGATGTCCCCTTCGTATGTTTGTGGACTGGGCGTTGCGTCGTCGTTATACCTCGCATGGTCTGTTCTGGATGGGCACAGTCGGCGGACCGGAGAGTTTTACATTTTCCATTTGTGCATCAGTCAGCAGCATCTGCCATGGCTTGTGTGGATGCGGTTTAGCGTGGATCATGAGCTTCGCGGAAGATCAAAACCAGGGATATGGGGAGGTTGATAGAGTGACATAAGACCGGAGTGCACGTGTGTGAAGGATGTTAAAATGGTGGAAGTCATGTTGTGAAATCAGATTGGAAGGCAGATAAGGAAGGGATGTGAAGATTAGAGTGATGTGGTCTCATTTGCAAGTGTGAGTGACACGTCTGACAGTGGAATTGCATGGCACTGCATAGCACAGTGGCAATCGTGTGTTTCTGAAGTGGACAAATTACATGATTCTTTCGGTAAAGTCACGTAGAAGGGAAATAATAAAATAAGAAAAAAAAAACATGATAAGATACAATTCTCACGACGTTTCGGCCACGACGCAAGCAGCCGTCCTCGGGTGAAGAACAGGGCTGTCGGGAAGACAGCGTCCTAATGAACACTGCTTAGCATATAAAGCTTTCGTGACTGCATGGATTCATATTCTTGGTTCTTTCTAGCAGTGTTCATTAGGACGCTGTCTTCCCGACAGCCCTGTTCTTCACCTGAGAACGGCTGCTTGCGTCGTGGCAGATTTTATTATTTCCCTTCTACGTGACTTTACCGAAAGAACCAAGAATATGAATCCATGCAGTCACGAAAGCTTTAAATCGAAATTGGACAAATTACCTTTGAACCCCTTTCAAAGCTGTGCACTGCCACCAGCGGAAAGAATCAAACCCTCAATGGCAGAGCAGCTGAATCCTGCCGCTTCCAAAGTCAAACGTTTTTGCCGCAATTGTTTAGTTCATAATGTGTCCCTTGACACCGCTGTGAAACAATATGGCTCGTTCAAGTATGGAAATAGAAATACGTGCACGTGTCCCGATTGCTGTAACTCTGTGCTTGTGTTACATTGGGGCACACTATTCTTGAAACCTCCACGTTACGATAGTGCTTACTTCCAGATGTGTTTGAACACAGTTGCATTGCGGAGAGAACTTTATAATGAAATTGCGATTTAGGCGGAGACGTAAATGCTATTTGCACACTGTATTTGTTCCGCTATTAATCTCACTCAAGTAGGAACAGACCCAAAGGGGAATGGCTGGCCTCAATAACTTTCTTTACTGCTTGTTTTCTAGCAACAGATTTAACATGGCAAAGATTAATATATGGCTCTTTAAGAAAGGACACGTTTGTAGACATTCTACTTACATACGAGTTACATTGCTGCAACAAATACATGTTCAATATTCTGACTGAACACAGTCAATAGCCTTCTGCATCTGTCTGCCATCCCTCCACATGATTAGCCATGGAATTGCACTTTGCCTTTCAGGCCTTTGATAAGAAAGTGAACTTTAACACTTACTTTTGCAGCATTGATTCTGAGTGATCAATCTCATTAAGAGCATTGCCACAAATAAGCACGTGTTTGTTTATATGGTGATGTTTGAAAATGTATCACGTAGGAGGCTTTCGCGACCAATATCATCCATAATAGAGGTTTTTTTGGGGGGTTAGATCGCGTAAATATATAAATGTGTCGTTAAACCCGCCACCACCCGACACAGCCAACTAGTAAGGGTTGTCACGTAAACAGAACATGCCAATTCGTCACTAGTACAGCACACCGGTGTGTTGGAGAGCCAAGCCACAACATTTACAATCTGAAAGTCAGTGGTGGTTGTCCTCTGGATTTAGCTCACCTCTGTCATCGGAATGTGGAATATTCACTGCTGGCTCAAGGTTGTCAAGAGGGAGCGAGCTCTACCCTATGCTCACCAGAGCACAAAATAATTAATACGTTTTGTCGCAGTGCCGAATTTTATTCGTAAATAGAGGTCTTGCCAGTAATATCAATTAAAATAAATCAAATCAAAGATCACTGTGTATGAAATGTCCTTAATCGTTTGGAAATAACACAGGTCAGTGCATGTTTAAACAAAGAACAAATATCGTGCATATGCATGGCTTTTGTAAATCTATCTAACACGTGTTTGTCCTCGGAAGTATCTAATTAGGAATAATGATGTTACAACAGCGCATAATGTGTGACATCATCTGTTGATGCCACACATTTTGTTTGTTACCACCGAAGCAAGCAAGGCGAATACTCTTATCGCTGAATTTTGTCGCCAAGATTTGAGCAAACGTATTTATAATTTTGGCCAGTTTTCTATAGAGTAAGCCCATAAAAGCAATACCAATTTATATACGTATATATTTTAAAGTATTTATACTGGATCATCATAACAAGAACTATCGTGGGACCCCCATTACAAACAGGCAGACGGACAGAGCTTGAACATCAACTACTTTCAAGATTAGTTGAACTGTGTAAACAATGCTGTGTTTGGTAGCAATACAAGCATATAATTAATTCATGACCGAATGCCCGACACGTAAGTTAATGCAAATGCACATTAATAAAACAAAATATACGATTGAAGATTTGTTTTTTTTTACTAAAGAAAAAATGATGAAAATATATTCAATAACAGTCACATTCTTTTTTTTTCTGCACAATGTAGTCACACGGTCTCGCAATAACGGACGAAGAGAGTCGATGCGTATTTAGCAAACACACCACGAAACGTGATTGAGTCACAACCGACATTGGATTAATGACCTGACCAATAAGGTTTACGTTTTGCATGGGTTCATGTTCCCGCAAAAACAAACCAAATCCAGCCGTCTATGTCGTGCAAATGAATGCAGCGTGAGTAAACCCTTTCATAATTTCAGGTGGTGATGGCTACAATGTGAAATGGATTATGAACATTCAATAGCATTCAAATATCACATAGAGCTCTGATAACGCAATCCATGTGTACATCGGTGACGTCTTGCGCTATTAATGCTATGCAGAATACATTTGTATCCCTTGAAATGAAATCAAGATTCTCTCTTAATGAAACATTTTCACGTTATTTTCCCCCAACTTTGTCGGTGTTCTGAGCAATCCATTGTTAGTCTACTAAGGCTTCAATCGAGGGCCACGTTACTTCAAATAAAGAAGCGTTTCCGTTAACGTTCTCTGGCAGCATGAGCAGACTATGTGAGGATCAAATATATTTCAAATGTGCTTATAAATATGAAAATATCAAAATTTATCCTTGCTCGTGGTGGGAAAAAAATATTCAGCGCCTTTTCTTTTTTGTTTACTTCAAGAGGTCGTGGAATTGTGCTCGCCGTATACAAAGACAAAGATCCGCCCCCGTATTTACTTTATCAAACTGTTGGGGCAAGTGCTGTTTAGTGAGCACCTATGAAGCCCGGCACGGCACACGAGGGGGTGGGTGGCCAGCACCACGCCCGGCCGCATTCGTCTCCCCAGTGCCAATGTTTTTTACACAACGCACCAGGTACTCATTTGAGGCTGAGTCGACCTAGGGGAGGTACAGGACCGGTTCAGATAATTCAGATAATCGTCACTGGTGTTGGCCATGAGCGGAAGTCGAACTCATGTCGCCGAGTATCGTAGAGCAGCGCACTAACCGCTTGTTTCAATGTCTGGCGAGTTCTTACAAACCCCGAGTTCACAGATTGCACATTTGTGGTTGTGGTCTTTGCCGCCTGCAAGTGGGCAACCAACTGTGAGATTTTATCCGAACTGAGCCACTTATAACGCAAGGCATTCATGAAGTACCGGGGCAGCAGGGTACCTCCAAAGGAAAGTGCCTCCCAGTCCAAGTTTCAGCAAAAGGAAACTCAATCCTGTTCCCCCGTGCTGCTTGGCAGATCCAGCAGTGAAAATGTTGTCATTCTTTGCCGAGTGTTAAAGCAAATGTGCTGCCTGCGCCGCAGATGTTTAACATCATACGGGAACCGTCTTTGGTGGATTATTCCACTGTGTGCCAACATGTGGATTAATGACCAAATTAACCCGCTGGTTATAT